TAGCTCAGTGGCATAAGTGCCTGCCTTGCAAGCAGGCAGTCGTGAGTTTGATCCCCGGTACCAATAAGAAGGAAAAAGACAAAAAAAAAAAAAAAATCTTTCTGGCTTTAGTTCCTTGCAAACTAGTCTCTTTTTTTTTTTTTTTAAAAGGGGTCTTACTGTGTAGTACAGACTGGCCTCAACTTAGCCTCTTGACTGCTGGAATTATGTCATGTGCCATCGTGCCCAACCCTTTGTCTGATGGCTGTTTTTCTTTTTTTCCTGGTGTCAGAGATCAAACTCAGACCTCATACTCACTGCACAGGGCTTGAGTTGCTGAGCTAAACCCCTGTCCCCATTTGATGTCTTTTAAGGATTGCATCCCCAATACAATATTGCAGTGCTGGGGATTGAGTTCGGCCAGCATGCTAAGCAAGCACTCAACTACTCTAAACCTCCAGTCCTTTTAAGTAGACTGAAGTCTGAATGAGGTAGTGGGAAATGACACAGTGACAGTCTGACTTCTGGTCATTTCATTGGATAAGGGTTGCCGTTTTTGATTTTTGGTGGCACTGAGATGAAGCCCCAGCTTGAAATGTGCTAGGTAAATTACCACTGAGCTGATCTCCCACCCCCAGCCCAAGTAGCGTGCTGTGTGAGTGTGCGTGCCCACATTTACAGATGTATTCCTGTGCCTGGTGTGCTGAGGCTTAATTTTTGTCAAATTTAGATCCTAGGATTGTGCCTAGAAGCTCCCCAGGAGCCAGAGGAGCTGTCTTGTTTCATAACCTGTCCAGCTGCGTAAAGAGCTAGAATGGCGGAATCTTGTGAGCACCAGTATGTGGTACCAGTTAGAATCTTTCTCTGCCTTTAAAAAATTTTGAGGGCCAGGGGATACCTCAGTGATACAGGTGCCTGGCCTGGCAAGCACAAGGTTGTCAATATGATCCCTGGTGCCAAAAAAATTATTTTAAACAATCTTCCCTTTGCCTTTCTCCTTTGTAACATTGTCCTGTTGAGCAAAAGGGTAAACACCACACTGAGATGTAGTTCTACATTCCCAAGACCCTAAATTTCTCACAAAGTTCTTTGTCCTGTTTAATATAACCTCACCATCTAAAACATGTTTCTTAAGCACTTCTGCCAAGCAAACAATGGACTAGTGTGGGAAAAAATGCTGATTTAGCAGGTTTGCGTGGGCCCTTGAGAATGGATACCAGTAACTGTGAGGATAGATCGAGCTGGAACGCGCTCCTTGGATCTCCAGCCCTTTGTTCAGGTCTCCAGACCAGCACTGCAGGTTGACGGAGCGGGCCTGGCCTTTGCACTGGGTCCCTCACTTGGCAGGTGCCCAGCCACTGGGCCTTGAGCGGGTTTCCTCATCTCCTGTGCGTCAAGCTTTCTTGTTTTTTCTGATAAGTTTTTCCCTCCCCCTTCATTTTGGCTTTGATTTTGGTTATATTTAGCACTTATAGGAAGTTATTTTAGTGTATTTGGATTAATTTTTTCCTTTTGGAGTTCTGGGTGTTATGTCAGACTCTGAAAAATTCTCCAATATTTAAAAGTTCTACCATGGTTTCTTTAGGTATTTTAAGTCTTTTAACAATATTTTGATCTTGGCTTCCTATTAAAAATTTTTCCTATTAGAAGCCTCAGAAAGGACTAGAGATGTAGTGCAGGGTGGAAAGCATTCGCCTCGCTTGTATAAGGCCTGGGTTCAGGCCCTGGAGGCAGAGGGATACAAGAAGGCTCCAATTCCTCTACCGCCCTACATATTAAACCTAGTTCTTAAAGACATGCAGAGTTGAACGTCAAAGCCAGGGTTGGTGGTGCATGCCAGAAATTGTAGCACTGTGACCAAGGCAGGAGGACTGCCAAGTTTGAGCCTAACTTGGAGTACTTAGTGATTTAGACCCTATATTGAAATTAAAACGTATGTTTGAGACAAGGTCTGGCCTTGAATTTGTGGCAGTCCTGCCTGAGCCTCCAGAGTGCTGGGATTCCAGGCATATTAAACTCATTTTTAAAACATGCCAAGAGTGTTGCTAAGCAGTGGTGACACAAGGATGAATAATGTGGAGAACATGGTGAACAACTAAATGCGTAACTTTAGAGATTAGTGTGAAATTGACCTGCCTTTGTCAAAGGGCCTCAGTTTTTCATTGTGTAGACCCCTCCTACAGCTGCTCTTGTACCTAGGCGAGTGATCTAACAGGCAGAAAATACTGTTTATTATTATATTTTATACTTGTGGGCTGTTGAACCCAGGGCCTTTACACTGAGCTACATCTCCCAGTGCTTTGTATTTTTTCTGTTTTTTTGAGACAAGGTCTTGCTATGTAGTTTAGGTAATCCTCCTGCCTCTGCCTCCTGAGTGGGAGATTATAGGTGTGCACTACCATGCCTGGTTTATTTGTTGAGACAGCCATCTTGCTAAATTGCCCAGGATGAGCTTGAATTTACAATTGCCTGCCTCAGCCTCTCGAGTGCTGGAATTATAGCTGTTTACTACCACACCTGGCTAAAGTGGCAATGCCTTTTATGACCTAAAAGTGACATACTTCATTTCCACAGTGAGTTGTTTCTGCAGGTCCGCCTACTCGGTGTGAAAAATAACCCTGAAGAGAGAGTTCTGAAAGATGGTTATCTTTGTGGGTCATCTAGAGTCTGACTGCAATCACTGACCTGATCAAACATCATTCTGGAACATTCCTGTCCTAGGAAAAAACCAACCCTGAGAGCTCAGTGTCTCATTAGACAAGTTCGCACGCCATAAATCCAAGCACTTGTCTGTTACAACTTAGAGAAAACTTGTCAAAGATAGCCACGAGTGGGCCGTGACTCGTTCATCTAGGAGCATACTTCCACGCCTCCTCTTGCCCTGCCGTGGCACATCCTGCTCCTCTGCATGCCTGAGGCATCTTGCAGCCACTCAGTGCGTCACCCACCGCTCTGCCCAGCTCTCAGCTTGGCTCCCTTCAAACAAGGCCAGTTGCTGCACTCCTAACCCTGGCAATGCCCAGCAGCAGGAGAAAGGAGCCATCAGTTCCTGGCTACTCAGGGATGAGGCTAGAAACATTTGTCCCTTGGCTGCAGATAGAGTTCCCTTTCCTTGGTCGAAGAGGGACAAATGGGCTCTGAGCTGGACCACTAGGCCAAAGTCTGTTGCAAAAGCAAGACAAGAATGGGCAGGTGTTAGTCTTGGAGCTGGTGCCAGGAGCACAGAATGAAGTCTCCCAGGAAGGGCTGCCAAGTGTGTGTCCTCCGGAAAGGAAGACCTCCCTGCAAACCCCGCTCCAGCTGCCCAGCTCTTTCACAACCCACTCCCAGTCACAGAAAACTCGGCTCTAACTCTGCTCAGTTTAAGAACTTTCCAGTCCTCCTGTCTGCTTTTTTGCCTTCGGAGGACATGGAATGGCTTCTCGAGGTTCTCAAGACATTTTAGGGACAGCTGACGTTTTCTGCTCATGGAAACCATGGCCTCATGCACAGGAAGAATGTTTCCACTTCATAACCTTCACATTTTCACTCTTGCGTCAGACTGAAGATCATGGTCTTTAAACAGGAGAATGTTATAACCAAGGTTAACTTTGGAGGACGGGGGAGAAGAAAATTTTAAACAGAGCTTAGTCAAGGGCTTGGGAAGATAAGTGGAGCTCTTACCTCAAGTGTACCAAAGGCCTGGGTTCAATACCCACCCAGCCAGGGGAAACCAACCCCACAGTAGTAAGATCACGTGTTGTGACACGTTTCTAGAATGTTTCAGGTAAAGGAGGCGATTTGAATATTTCAGGCAATGAAATGGGAAGAATGGACATAGGCTTGGGCTGGCATTATTCATGTAGGTGCTGTTTGAATAAATTCCTGAAAATCTCTTTCTTTGTAATGGAAACTCCACAAAGAATTCTTCTTTTTACCCCGAAGTATGAAAGCAAGAATAAAGTTTAATATTAATGGAAGTCTCTTAAAGCTTTAAAGAAAACTTTATAAATCTAAAGTATCAGAATTTCCAAGATATCTAGCCAGGAGAAATCCCAAGTAGAATCATGTGTCACTTTATTTTTCCTTTTTTTTTTTTTTTTAACTGAGACAGGGTTTTGCTGTGGAGGTCAGGCTGATCTCCATTTCACAGCAATCCTCCTGCCTCAGCTTCTCAGAATGCTGTCATTACAGGTGTGCGCCATCACGCCCTGTTGGCTCTGGTTTTTTAGGCGAACACAACACCTAAAGAAAGATAAAGCTGATTAATTTGTAAGAAAATGGATGCACCTGGAGTCTGGAATGTTAAATGAAACAAGTCCGACATACAGCACACGGTTTCTTATATGAGAAACCCACAGTATACATAACCGACAAATAAGACAATAGGAAGCAGAGACCTTCCAAAAGCAGAGGGGGCCAAGAGATGGAAAGAGGCGCGAGGGAGCGCAGGGAGGGGGATGGAAAAAACTTAAGAGGTGCCCTGTGCACGTGCCAACGCTCCAAGAGGAACTGATAAAACCCGGAAACACCAGGAAAACGTTAGCTCTCGCCCCGTCCTTTCCTCTGCAGATTCGCGAAGCCCCGCCAGCTCCGAGTCCGCGGTGCACCCGAGGCCCCAGGCCGCGGGCCCGGTCGCGCAGTCGCCTCGCTGCGAAGGGCCCGCCTTTGAGGTTACAGTGGATGTTTCCGGGCGGCCTGTTGGGGGTCGCGGGTAGCCCCGGCCCGCGCCAGCCAGGGCCTCTCGACCTCCCCCAGGCGACCCCGTACCCCCGCCAGGTGACCCCTGTTGCTCCGCCAGGTGACCCCGTACCCCCGCCAGGTGACCCCTGTTCCTCTGCCAGGTAACACCGCCCCGTCCGCCCGCCAGGTGGCCCGGGCCCCCCCTGCCCCCGTAGTCCCGCCCCCTTCTCGTCCGAGCTGCGCGCCGACGGTCCCCGCACCGCCCTCCTCTCCCGTCGTGCCTCGCGCGGCCGCGGCTGTTCCGCGCCCCCACCGCTCCGGCCGCCCGCCCCGCCCCTTCCCCTTTCCCGACGTGCCCCGCGCGGCGCCGGCTGTTCCGTCTTGTCGCCCCTCCCCGAGCCCTGCCGGGAGCGCCTCTGCCCCGCCTCCCGGCAGCAGCGCCCCGACATCCGGGTACCGACGCTGGCCGCTCCGACTCGGCACTATGGTCATGGCGGAGGGGACGGCAGTGCTGAGGCGGAACAGGCCGGGCACCAAGGCGCAGGTACCCGTCGAGCCTCGCCTGCCGGGCCTCTGGGGCAGGGTGGTGGAACCCGAGAGCGGGGGCGGCCGAAGGCGCGGGCGAGGGCGGCGGGGCGATGGCGGCGGGACGCGGCCTGCGTTTCCGGACCGAGCCTGACCCGCGGCAGCGGGGTGAGGAGGGGACTCGGCGCCGGGCTGGCCTCGGCCTCTCCTCGCCTCAGGCCCGGGGGCGCGGTCGGGCCGGGCAGAGCCCAGGTCCCCGCAGTCGGGTCGGGTCGGAAGGGTGGGCGCGGGGCCGTTCGCGGGCGTGCGCTTCTTCCGTGGTCCCCGCCGGTCCCGCACCCTGCTCCTCGCGGCGTCCCGCTCCTGTGCTGGGCGTCACCCCTCGCCGCCGTGCCCGAAGCCGGGTGGGAATCCGCTGGTGACGTCCCACTGCCTCTGTAGGGGCGATTGGGCTGAGGGGCTCTGCTGTTCATGGTTGGCCCGAGACGGCAGGCTTCGCGGAAGAAAAAACTCCAAATTGGTCTTCCGACCCGACCAGAGGAATCCAAGATGAAATGGCTTGTCAAGGAGTAGCTGCTCTCAAACCAGAAGAAATATGCTTAAGCTGTTAAAGTGGTAGGGACAGTGGTAGGGGCTGTGCTCGCGTGCCCGAGAATAGATTTAATTTCTTAGACAGAGTTGTGGGAAGGGGGCCTTTCAAAAGAAGCATATTCTAGAGCTAGACCTCCCAAATGTGCTGCACAAGATAAGGAAACCAAGCCCGGAGAATCAGTGCTTAGGTTAAGGTTAGTGTCCAGATTTTTAGTTCATTAGTGACCTTTTCTCTTTTTAAGTTGTTTCTGCTACTGAATTGTTTTTAAAGTCTTATTATAGAATTGCTTTACATTGTCAGTTGCTGTACTTCTACAGGTAGCTGCTAGGAATTGCTAGGTATGCTGTCTTTGTACATTTTCAAGCTTTTCTTGTAAATGTTCTTTTCTCAGGTAACTACTTTGCATTCTGTAGCAACATTATTTCTGATTTTTAAATGATCAACTTTTTTTTTTTTTTCCCTGCTGAGGCAGAACCCAGGGCTTTTTGTCTGCATAAATGGGCTCTAGCTTGTAGCCAGAAGTTGTTACTTTAAACTTACTTTAAGTGTAAATTGTAACACATCTGTTTGCTTTACGGTTAGGATTTAGGACATGTATCGGAAAATTCCTTTGCATTTTTCACAGTCATAAATCAAGATTAAAATGTAACAAAAGGTTAAGATTGAAAGAAAAAAATGACTTTTTTGGTACTGGGGATTGAACTCACGGCCTCCTGCTTGTCAAGCAGGCACTTGTGCTGCCAAGCTAAACTCCCAGCCCAAAACTGACTGAACTGCAGTCCTAAACTCATTACATGAATTTCCGTCAATAAAAAGGTTTATTTCAAAAAGATCGGGTGGGTGGTATATATGCTTAGTTTTTATCCAACATTTTTTTAAAAAGTTGGCTGTACTGAAATACAGGCACAGTGAATGTTAACTGAATTGGATGAGAACATTTATTAAGCTGGATTTTTTTTTTTTGTTTTGTTTTATTTTTTGAGACCGAGGTCTCGCTATGCAGTTCAGGCTGGCCTTGAGCTCACTTTGTAGCCCAGGCTAGTCTCGAACTCCTCAACCATCCTCCTACCTCTGCCTGTGAGTTGCTGGGATTACAGGCGTGAGCCACCATGCCTTGCAAATTGGATTTTTTTAATCTCTCAAGTGTCTAAAATATAGTTAAAATGAGGCAAAACATTTCATTCTCAATTAACTTTGCATCTTTTCTGAATGATACTATACATGTATGTGCTAATATTTTTAAAACAATTTGCCTTTAATATTTTAAATGAAAGAGTGAGCAAAGCAGTTTGATAGAAGTGTGTTTTGATAGAAGTATCATGTAGGGAGAATTTAAAAGCTGTTTTTAAATGTTTCAATACTGTCTAGAAAAGGCATTGTGGAACAACTTTTACAAGACTTTTATCTCTTGACATTTTCCCTGAAGGAAGGTAGCTCTGTCTTTTCTTTCAGATAGGGCATCTGTGAAATCAGAAGATAGTATAAAGTGTTTGTTCCCATCACTACCCTTAGAACTAAGATGTTGCCAGAGAGTTGGGTCCCTCTGTATGACATTTTCCTGTTTTCTGACCCCCACCCCATCCCATTCCAGCCATCAATATGTCTTGCATTGTCTGAGCATATACTCTGTATTCTTTAGCTTGCTTTTGTTTGCTCAAGATTATTTGTTTTTGGTTTTTGAGACAGAGTCTATGATGCAGCTCAGGCTGGTTTTGATCCCATAGTGATCCACCTGGCTCAGCCTCTGAAGTACTAGGATCATGAGTGTGCACCACCATGCCACCTGGTTTGCTATCTTGACAGGTTTATGTATTGATTACCTTTTTCTTCCTATTGAGGACCAACTGTGTATCAGGTATTGGGCTACCTATTAAGAATGCAGAGGTAAACTTTGGTGAAAATCATACAAGTGAGGTTCTTAATCACTTAGAAGAGTCTATAGAGGATGCAGAACCAGAGCAGGGTGCCCCTTAGGGCCGGGGCTATAATAGCGGTGGCAGAGTGCTGGCCTGGGTTCGAGGCCCCTCCAAGTTGTCATTGGGATTTCCTGGCCCCATGTTTGTGATGGACCAGGGCTTCACACATACCCACTGTGAGCTACCTCTGAGCCACACATAATGGTCTGATTTCTGTTTAGAAATTTAAAACTCTAGTTAGTATTGTAATAATTTATAATTATCTAAAATATTACTCATGGAGCCATAAATTAGCCACTGATGTTAACTCTTTAGATAAAAAGCTGCTTTGGTTTTTTGATGTCTGGGGATTTTTTTTTCAAGTGTAACTTTTTAAGGAATATTCAGTAATCATAGACAAAAACATCTGATTTATTTTCTTAGTTAAGTAACATTTAACAAGCTGATAGGAATTATAGTTGAGGGATTTATGGTTGAAAAATGGTAATATGTATTTTAAAATCTTGATATGTATTTTAAAATACCATCTAAGATTACTTATTTCATTGATAATTTGTAAATGTTCTCCCTCAATCTGATATGAACTCAGAATCTTCATTGAGAGCTGAAGTTAGCTGGGCGTAGGGGGTACATGCCTGTAATCCCAGTATTCAGAGGCTGAGGTAGGGGCTAGTTGTGAGTTTGAGGCCAGCCTGAACTGCATAGTGAAAGTTGCAAAAAACCAAAACAACCCTGAAGTTAATGTCACTGCATCCTCTTTGTAACTCTGTGCTTTAGCAGTGTTTTTTTGTTTTGTTTTTGTTTTTTGTTTTTTGTTATGGTCAGGAGGGTCGAACTTGTGACCTTGTATTTGCCAGGCATTTAACAGTTTATTTATTTATTTTTATAGGATTTCTATAATTGGCCTGATGAGTCATTTGATGAAATGGACAGTACACTTGCTGTTCAGCAGGTAGGAAAAGTTTCCTTTACAATCCCAAGACCCTAGCATTTTTACCTCTTGATATAGCTATGCATTCCTATATATATATGTACATGTATGTGTTTTCCAAGTCCCATTTTATTTCAAAGAGAGAAAACTCAAAATTTCAAAACATAGGGGACAACAATGGTACATACATGTGGGCATTGTTAGCACCAAATTGTTCGCCCAGAGCGCAGGACCCCTGCGTTCAATTGTCTGAACAATACCAGCACAAAGCTTTCTCTTCAATGAATGCAGAGCAGTCAGTGGTGTAACCATCTTAGCTGTTTTTACATATGCATATGTATACGTATATATGTTTGTTTCAGCTTCTCACACTAGTGAGATAATAGAATGTTTACATGTGTGTCTTATTTATGTGTGGTCTAAAATTGCATCCATTTACCTATAAAAGTCTTTAGTTTAATCCTCCTTTATGGCTGAATAGTACTGCAGAGTAAAAATAGACACCTTTTTTACCCATTCTTCAGTCGATGGGAATTTAGGTTGTTTCCAAGATCTGGCTATTACAGTTGTGCTGCTGTAAACATGGGTGCACATACATTGCTGTGGTATGATGTTTTTCATTCTTTTGTGAAGATGCCAAGAAGGACAGTAGCTGGGTGGAATGGGACCTCTAGTCGTAGTTTTTTGAGGAATCGCCACACTGATTACTACAGTTGTTACAGCAGTCTACACTCCCTCCAACAATGGTGAAGGGTTTTTTTTTTTTTTTCCCCCAGCCCCTCCAGCATTTGTTATTGGTTGATTTCTTGATGACAGCCATTCTTTCTGGAGTGAAATGGAATCTCAGTGTTGTTTTAATTTGCATCTCTTAGCATTCCGGTGTTTTTTAGTAGGAACCAGATTCCACTACTAATGCAGTGCCCATTGAAACTTGTTTTAATATGGTGTATTAGCCAGTGTGTTGGCATATGCCTGTAATCCCAACATTTGGGAGGCTGAGGGGAGAAGGATTGCTGTGATTTCTAGGCCACTATGGACTATGTGTGAGTTCAAGACCAGCCTGAACTGCATGGCAAGACCCTGTCTTACAAAACAAAGTGGTGTATTAAACTATAATCAGACCTAGTATGTTTTAGTGTATGTTATTATGTATCAAAAGAGGGTACCAAATTTGATTTTATAATGAATTGAACTCAACTAATTGAATGATTGTCAGAGTAGGAAATAATTAAAGAGAAATAGCATTGTTATTTGGTGACTAAACCCCCCCATAACATGTTTTAAAGATTTGCATTTTTGTTTTACTTATTATTAGTTCCTTTGTTGTTGTTATCATTAGTTATTTTATCCTCCAGTATATAAGGGCAGATCAAATACAGCATTTGATTATTTTAAAAGAATGTGTTACAGTAAAAGACACATTGCCATGCCGCTTCTGAGGCTGTTCAGGAAGTTCCTTTCCTGAGAGTCTTTATGAGCTGTGATCGAAAATTCAGTGAGTGCTGCTGCTGCGTCCTATCCAGCAGAAAGGCAGACTCACAAAATGAAGGGCACCCGTCCTCATCTACCTTGTCTGGCACCCTGTGACTCCTGGCGCTTCCTGAACATCAGAATGAGCACAGAAGGGAGACATTCTTGTATCTATTCGGGATACTGAGGCAGCCACTAAAGCGTAACTGAAGACACCCGGGAAGGGGAAGTTGGAGCAGCTGCAGAAAGTGTTAAAAGCAGTGGGATCAGTGTGTGAGTAGTGAGGGGCTGTGTTTTGGGGGGAATTGGCCGGAATGTGTCCTTTACTGTCATACACCAAAAAAACCCAAAAAAGCTCTGGCTTTCACCATACTTCGGGATCACATCTGGTGCGTGAGAACTGAGCTGCCTCTCTCAGGCCACTGGTGCTGTTGTTGGCTCTGAGGTCAGTGACTCAGAGGGTGGGCTCCAATGAGGGTCACTTTCTCTGTGTTGAGTTAAAAGCAGAAAGGTCTAGGGGCTGGGGATTTAGCTCAGCAGCATAAGTACCTGCCTTGCAAGCAGGCGGTTGTGAGTTCAATCCCCGGTACGATAAAAATGAAAAAGACAAAAAAAAGACCAAAAAAAAAAAAAAGAAAAGCAGAAAGGTCAGACTGCATGCCAGCTCCAGATCTCTCCTGCCTGCACTGAAGCTCCAAGTCTGAGTGATTTCCAAACCCTTGTTTGTTTGGATTTTGGTTTGTTTTTGTTTTTAGTTTTTTGAGACAGGGTCCAGTCTGGCCTCCAATTTGTGGCAGTCCTCCTGCCTCAGCCTCCCAGTGCTAGGGTTAGGGGTCTGTACCATCAGGCCTGATGTTTTTTTTTTTTTTTTTTTTTTTTTCCTTCAAGACAAGGTCTCACTGAGTTCAGGGTGGCCTGGAACTCACTATGTAGCCCAGGCTGGCCTTGAACTCAGAATGATCCTCCTGCCTCAGCCTCCCAAGTGCTGGAGTTATAGGAGCATGTCACCACTTCTGCTTCCAAACTTCTCTTAACAGTCACACGTTCACTCCTCATAGATGTTTAAGTTTAAATTTGTTCTTAACTGATACACGCAAACTCAGAACATGCATATTGATGGGTGTGCTCTTTAGGGCACCTAGAGTGACAACTCTCTGGAAGATTTTGAGTTACTTTGCCCAGACTGGTGAGATCTGTCTCTGGCCACTGTAACCTACCTCAGCATCTCTTGCCCTCCTGCCTGCCTGCCTGCCTGCCTTCCTTCCTTCCATAGTGCTGGATTAGACGGGGCCTTGAATGCAGTAAGCACATGCTGTAACTCATCCCCTCCCTCTAAAGTGCTTTTATTGTTTGTTTTGAGATGGTGTCACAGTGAGACCTTGCCCAGGTTGACCTTGAACACTTGGGCCCCAGCAGACCTCCTTGATCCTCCCAGGTAGCTGGGACTACAAGCCATGTCAAGATTGTGTGAGCTACTACGCACTCCAGAAGTACACGCTTCTGATTCCAGCTACTTGGGAGGCTGAGGCAGGAGGATCATAAGTTCAAGGCCAGTCTTGGCATTTTAGTGAAACTGTGTCTCAGAAGAGTTAAACGGGCAGGGATATATCCAAGTGATACAGAGCTTGTCTGGCATGCTGGAGTCTCTGGACTCAATCCTTAGTACCCCAATGCTCCTGTTCCATCCCATAGTAATTGTGCAACTGGTGATCATATTCAAGAAGGATGGTCCAAAATATGGAAAATATAGATTGAAGAAACACCTATAGTTAATGACCTTTTCTAAACAGGACTTTAAAATTCTAACCTATCCAGATTTCAGGATGTCATATTTGTAGAATGGATGAAACAATAAAGAGATCTGAAATTTAAATTCTTACGTTAATTGTTTTTAGTTGAAAGTGACGGCTCTTGGTGTGGAGGAATTGAGCCCAAGGCCTCACGGGAGGCAAGCACTTTCTGTTTATCTGTACTCTTTCCTCTGCCTTTTTCAACTTAGTTTTTTTGCTTTTTTTTTTTTTTTTTTGCTTGTCATTTTTAAAAACAACTTTTATTGGGTATAATTAACATATCATAAAAATAGCCATTTAAAAACGTAAAACTCAGGGGCTGGGTATTTAGCTCAGCGGCCATAAGCACCTGCCTTGCAAGCAGGCGGTTGTGAGTTTGATCCTCGGTACTGATAAAAAAAAAAGTAAAACTCAATGGTTCTCTACTCCCAAGTTGTAAAGCTGTCACCATACTTTTAGAAGTTTGATCCACCCTGAAAGACACCCTGTCCTCAGCAGCGTGTTCCTGTCTTCTCTGTCTTCTCAGCCCTCAGTGTCTCCTGGTCTGATGTCTGTTACTGTAACTTTGCTGTTCCTGGCACTTCACAGGAATGTTACCCTGCAGTATGTGCAGTTATGTTTGCATCATCTGTCATCTGTGTCTTAGGCTCATGTGAAGATTATCGTTTGCTTTTATTTATGTATTTTCTGATACTGGGGATTGAACTTGGGGCCTTCACACTGAGCTGTACCCGTAACCTTTTTTCTTTTTCATTATTATTATTATTAGTTTGATCTTGCAGAGTTGCCAGATCATCTGAGCAGAGCTTGAATTTATGGTCTTCCTGCTTCAGCCTCCTAGAGAGCTGGGATTTTAGGGTGGTTTGCAAGTTTTATGACAGTTTCAATCCTAGTAAATATCTCCTTTGAATTCGAATTGGAGAATAAGTCAGGATTGCTCCCTTTTTTCTGAGCTACTTTTTATGTTTCTAAATTTGGTTTTCTTTTTAGTGTATAACCCAAAAGTTGAACCACAGCAGTTATATGTTCAGAAGTTGTATACCCTAGTATACCCTGTATCCTGTAGTGCAGTGTTTTAACCTTGAGAATCTCTTTGTTCCTAGTATATCCAGCAGAATATAAGGGCAGATTGCTCCAATATTGACAGAATCCTTGAACCGCCTGAAGGCCAAGATGAAGGTGTGTGGAAGTATGAACATCTCAGGTAGGCCCTGGGACGCTTGACATGGGGAGGGCGGCCTGCCGGTCAGGTGCCTGCTCACACTGTGGGGTGCAGATCAGAAACCAGAGTCCACCACTCTTGTGTGATCACCGTGTGCTCTGCTGGCTCAGGGGCTGTTTCCCTTGTTATGCTGCAGGGTCGTCTTTTTTTGCAAGGTGGTTTTGCAAGGCTGTCTGTGCATGTTTGTACATTTATGGATTTTCAAATGATTTCCCTTAACTGGATCTTTTAACCACAACTGTGTTTGGTTCATTTTTCCATTCATGAAAAACTCCTTTCTTTATACAAGTCACCTTTAGGACTTACTGTGTGCCTGGTGTATGAAGAATTACCTAGGAACTGCTGAGTCCTTCCAGGCCTTCTTTTAGTGTAATTAGAATGCTGAAGTAGGAGTTCTTCGGCTTTGCAGTGTGTCTTTGAATGGAAAGTGTTGGTGGTGGAAGGGTAGAGTCACCTTCAGAAGTCGCTGTCCTGAGCTTCCCAGGTGCTTCTGCAGGCACTGCCACTCCCAGGGCGCTGAGCCGGGATGAGTCGGTTCCTTCTGGGTAGCTCTAGAGAGTGAGTGAATAAAGAATAAACAAATCTGCGGTGATGAGGACCTCTGCCTTCAGCCCAGGCACTGTTGTATTAAGCTTCTTGATGCTGTGTGCTGGTTCAGGTCTTGTGAAAGTCGGCAGTTTCAGGGAGCTGAGACTTGACTTTGCCAGTTTCTTGGACAGATGGAGTTTTGGTGTATGCGCATGTGCACGTGTGGGTGAGAGTGTAAAGGATCAAGGGCCTAGTTCTTTCTACAGTACAGTTTGTTCTGCTTTTGTGTGTGTGTGTGTGGTATGGGGAGTCTTAACTCACAGCCTCGGGCACGCCAGGCAGGCACTTGTGCCACTGAGCTAAATCCCCGGCTATGCTTTGTCATTTTTGAGACTGAGTCTCACTGTGTTACTTAGGCTGCCTCAGTCTCCTAAGTATCTGGAACTATAAGCTTGTACCACTACACAAAGCCAGACTTACTAAAAGTATGCGTTGATAGCTTTTTTCCCAGTTTTTGATACCTTACAGAGCATTTTAGTGTAATACCATTTCTTTCTGTTTGTTTTAATCAGGCTCATGTATGACTATCTTTCTGTGTTGGTGCTGAAACCAGGGTGCTCTTTATTACTTGGTTTCTTGTTTTACAGTACTGGAGACTGAACAGGGTCCACTGCTGCTGAGCTCTATCCCATTCTATTTTTGATATGGAGACAGGGTCTCAACAGTTGCCCTGGCCAGCCCAGAACGCTCATGTGCAGGGCTCCTCCTGCCTCAGCCTGCTCTGTCACATAGCTGGGGTTGCAAGTGTGTGCCATTCCCCCGGCTTTGTTTTTTTTAAGGTGGGGTCTTGCTATAGCACCCAGACTTTTTAGGAATTCAGGATCACTGGTGGGGTCAGCCTAGGAGCTGGAACCTGCTCTCTACCTGGCCTCCATCCTGCTTGTGTTTTTCACTGTGAATGTATTTCCCAACAAGCAATGTCTGATTTTAGTGTAGAGGTTTTTGTTTCAAATCTAAGAAAACATTTTCTTCCCTATTTATTTAACCTGAGGTGTACCTTGTATAGAACTTACAAACATTTGATATAAATTTCGTTCTCTTTGTCTAGGTGCCATTTTTATTTGTTATTTTTTTCTGTTGACCACTTTTGGGAGGATCTGAATTCATGTACTAACAGCACACGCGTGTCCTGTTGTCTTTGTCATATGGCCCGAAAAGGGTTTCCTGAGTAGCCAGTGAGTCTCTCCATCCCTGTGTTGCAGTAGGCAGAGGCTGGGCCGGGGGTTTGGCTGGGGAGTGGTGTCTTCTACAGGTCTCCTGCCTGCCCACCCCAGCCCTGCAGGCCAGGGGGGCGCCCAGCTGTGAGTGGACAGACCTAAAAGTGTTTTCATTTGTTTGTTGGGGAAATACTTGTGATTATCTGTTTTTTACTGTGAACTAGATTTTTATTTATTTTATTTAATTAATTTATTTTTTTATTGGTACCAGAGATCAAACTCACGACAGGCGCTTATGCCGCTGAGCTAAATCCTCAGCCCATAGTGAACTAAATCTTACTAGGGAGCTGCAGTCCTGGAGAGAACATGGCCGTTTTTTGAGGAGGAGAGAGGCGTGTTACAGCTCATGTTTTCAGACCTGTATTGTGGGCTCCAGTAACATCAGTTACTTTCAGGACACGAGGGTTGGCTTCTTGTTTCAACTGTCTGTTAAAACGGATGACTTCAGTGTCTTAGTGTCCTCCTTTCTCCATTTACTAAGAAAATCTACTCTTTAAAAAGAGCCTTACTCTTTTAGTTATTATATAAGCCTCATAATTCCCATTTTGTCAGTTTTTTTAAAGAATTAATGAATGAATTTGAGGGGGTTTTTTTTGTTTTTTTGTTTTTTTTTTGAGACAGAGGCTTACTTTGTAGTACAGGGTGTCCTTGAACTTACTGCGTGATCTAGGCCAGCCTTGAACTGATAATCCTCCTGCCTTATCCTGAGTGCTGGGATTACAAGTGCACCACCATGCCTGGCTGTCAGTTTTATTTTTATTTTATTTTATTTTATTTATTTATTTATTTATTTTTGGTACCAGGGGTCGAACTCATGACCTTGCGCTTGCCAGGTGGGCACTGTGCTGTTGAGCTATATCCTCTGCCCTTGGTTGTCAGTTTATTTATTTTTTTATTTTTTTGTCTTTTTCATTTTTATCGGTACCAGGGATCAAACCCACGACCGCCTGCTTGCAAAGCAGGTGCTTATGTTGCTGAGCTAAACCCCCAGCCCCTGGTTGTCAGTTTAGAAGGAAATATATCTTGAAAAATTGCCAAGATCTACTGACAAAAGCAAGTTAGAAAGTTACGTGATTTTTATCCCTATATATTTTGATCTGCACATAAAAAAATTGGCAAGTAAATTATAGTTATCTTTGATAGAAAGTGGTGGAATTATGAAGGATTGTAGATTTTCTATATTTGGTAATGTTTGAAGACTTTTTTTTTTGGTACCCGGGATTAAACGTATGACCTCATGCTTGCCAGGTAGGTGCTTGTGTCACTGAGTTATAGTCCTGGCCTCTGAAAAAAAAATTTTTTTTTAACCTTTTTTAGTTTTGTGGTGCTTGTGTTTGAACCCATGGCCTCATGCAGGCAAGGCAAACAAGCATTCTCCAGCTGTGCTACACTTCTGGAGCCCTGAAACTTTTAAGGGGTGTTTTGCTCTGTAGTCAGAGCAAAACTCAGAAAATACATGTAGCCTACGGCATCAGTCGGATGGAAGTCTAGCCTTTGCTGCTGCCTGTTTCTGTAGCTGGAACCCCACTCCTGTAGGTTTTGTCTTCTGCGTCAGAGGATCAAGACTGCTCCTGTGGGATTCTGGTGAGCATCTGTGCTCAGTTCTGATTTCAGCAGGCAGGGGTTCTTCCTAGAAGAGTGACTTAGCCAAAAAGTACATGCTTCCTGAACAGCCAGGTGAATGTTTCCAAGTTATTTCCCAGAAAAATTAGACCATTTTCTTATGTAAGAGAGTAATCACTTTGCTGGACTTTGCCATGGAATGTGATCGGGGTCATCGTTTCTTGTTTTAATCTGTAAGTCTTTGACAGAAAAGTAACTGAGGAGCTGGGCGAGCCTGCAGCTCAGCTACGCTGGAGGCTGAGGGGTCCAGCTGCTTGGACCACTGCAGGCTGGAGTCCGGGCCAGGCTGGCTCACAGCGAGATGCCGCCTCAGAGCAAATCATGCAGAATGAAGCTGAATTTTCGTTTATGTGTTTGCATTTCAGGCAGTTCTGCCTTGAACTAAATGGACTTGCCGTCAAACTTCAGGTAATACTTTGTCTAAGTTAAAGTTAAAGCTGTAATTGAAGTTGGGATATTTTTCTCCATTTGGGACTTGCTGTGCTCTTACAGACTTGCTCATGTTATCTGATCATGTCTTCCTTATGATTTACAGGGAATGTAGTGACCCCAGTGGTAAAGGTTTGCATTATTATTTGCGTACTAAGAAATGCAATTATTTTTAACAGAGTGAATGCCATCCAGATACCTGTACTCAGATGACAGCAACAGAACAATGGATTTTTCTTTGTGCTGCTCATAAAACTCCAAAAGAGGTAAGGACTTACGAATGATAGACAGGATTGTCATAACTCAGTCTCCCTGGGACACTGGTAAACATGTTCTAGAGGGGTTTTTTTTAGAGTTTTTGTTTGTTTGTTTTGAGGGTCTTGCTACATGGCACAAGCTGGCCTTGAACTCATAGAGACCCTCCTGCTTAAACCTCCTGTGTGGTGGGAATACAGGTGTGTACCACCAGGCCCACCGCATTTTAATAAAGGTTTGTTTTGTTTTGTTTACTTTGTCTTTTTGAGGCACGGTTTCACTGTGCAGTTCAGGCTGGCTTTGAACTGCTTTGTGCTCACAGCAGTCCTCCTGCCTCAGCCTCCTCAGTGCTGGAATTACAGCTGTGCCACCAAGCCTGGCTTTATTAGAGTTTTAAATTCACTGTTATTTTACTATTTGTTTCAGTGTTCTTTCTTTCCGCAGTTCTGTTGAAGGATTTCTTATGATTAATAATCATTTCTCCTAATTTGGGAGTCACATGCACTAGAACTCACTTCATGATTTATTAGTTATCACAAAGTAATGTCACTCCCGTTGTGCTGGTCCACTGGGTAATGGTTCAGACATACCTGTTTAGGTTTTGTTGAATCATGATTTCTTTTGATTGCAAGAACTGTTGCTTACTCATGAATGCCAAGTCTATGAGTAGAGATACTGTTTTTGAGGTTTTTAATGTTCATACTCTTTTCTCATTTAGTGAGCAGTAGCATTTGATGGTTTAGCTTTGTTTTTGCTTTTTCTTTTCTCACACTACTAAGGGTTAGAGTTGGGTTGCTGAGTGCTCGCCATCTAAAGGGCAGCTTGAACTACCCAGTAAGACCCTCAACACACACACACACACACACACACACACACGTACACGCACACGCACACACGCACACCAGCCTTTTAGCTTTTCTTGTTTTTAGCTTTGGTTTTGAGACGGCCTTGCTGAGTTGCCCAGGCTGGCCTTGAATCCTCAATCCTTTTGTCATGGTCTCCCCAAGTAGAGTAGCAATTGTGTATTGCCCCTTTAAAAATTTTACATTTTAGTTCCCATAGTGCCCACTGTGTATTCACTTTTCCTCAGTTGGTTCACAAGGCTCTTTATAGTTGGTGTTTTTAAATGACATGTTGCATCTGCCATGATCTGCATTCTTTTGAAGTCTGTAGAATCCCTTTTTACTGATACTCATCAAAGCTACAGGATATACCTTTAGGTGTCGTCATGCTGACGAGCCTTTAACACTTGAAGACAAGTGACCATAGTTGCAAAGTCAACATGTGGTATTCTTTCATATGAAAAAGAATAAAATTCCAGGCAGAGCAGGGACAGGGAGAAGGAAGGGAATAAATTCTCCAGTGTGAACAGGGTCTGGTGCCTGTGTGATTGATGGTGCTTATTGGAAGAGCAGTTTCCGGTCCTTCAATTCTCAGGGTGCAGCACACTCCTCTGGGGAGACCAATGTGGCATTTCCCTCGACCACTCACTGGTGGTGACTGCCAAGTCCCCAGAGGGCGAGCGCTGGTGGGAGACTGAGTCCTGGAGGCCCGTTCCGTCCTGGTAGCTGATAGGCGTCACCCTGGGAACACGGTGGGTCAGGCCCCTGCTCGCGGCAGTGTCCTGGCAGCAGTTCTCACTCCTTCCTTCCTCAGTGGGGAGGAGGGCGCCGGGCGGCTGGCGGGCTGGGGAGTGGGCGAGTGAGCGAGTGAGCGAGCAGCGCTGCAGTGTGCCGGTCCTGGCTCTGGGGTGAGGGCATCAGGGCGGGGTGGGCCCTCTGCAGAAGCGCAGGCATACACGTACACATACACACGCACATGCATGCGTACACACACGAGGAGCCTCCTCCCTCTCGGGCCACCGCGCAGTCAGGAGCCATGGGAACTGGCAGCCCGCACGCCCAGGGAGGGGCTGTTGCGCTTGGAGCAAGTTGTGCGTGGCCAGGGGTTGGGCTGGAGCAGGAGGCCTCTTCCTGCTCTAGCCACTGTTTCTTTTGGGCTTCACAGAGGGGTGTGATCGGAAGGCTGGTTAGTGAGCCTTGTAGCAGCTTGAATCCAGTAAAGCTTGGTCTCCCGGTGTATCCCTGTGTTCTGTTGGTATCGCCGTTGCGTGGCTGTGCTGTGGGCACAGCTTCTGGGGGTTCAGGCTGCACAGTAACTGCCTGGTGTGTGAGGTGGCCACGGCTGACACCCGCTGTCCTCTCTCCTAGTGCCCTGCCATCGACTACACCAGACACACGCTTGACGGTGCTGCCTGCCTGCTCAATAGCAATAAGTACTTCCCCAGCAGGTAAGCACAGCTTCCTGATCACTGTGCTGCACCTTTTGGGTTTGATTTAAAAATCGATGTCTTAGCCCTCAGAGTAGAGCGCGAGTGTATGCCTGTGTGTGTGCTTGTGTTTGAAGCTGTGGACTCTTTGGCTTCTTCCAGTGATTGGGATCCTGCAGCTATGTTACGGCATTGCAGCAGGATGGGGCCCCAGCCCTGGGACACTCCTGGGCTGGGCATAGCTGGGTGTACACCGGCTTCCTGCGTCCCCTGCCTGCCTCCCACAGTCTAGAAGAGCAGACTCCCTTTCTGGGCTGCTTGTGTTTGCAGGATTCCCTTGTTTTGTTCTGTGTTTGTTTGAGACAGGTCTTTGCTATGTAGTCCAATGTGGTTTTGGACTCGAACTCCCTGAGATCCATCTGCCTCAGGCTCTGAGCCCTAGAATACATGTGTGTGCCTCCACACCTGATGAGATTCCTTATTCTTGCCTACAGATTTTTAAGACCTGAGAAGAAGCTGTGTGTGTATTGTGCTGTTGGTGAGATTTGTGGCTGCTGTTTAAGTCTGTTCAGATACTTAAGGTTTTTAAAAATGTGTGTGTGTGTGTGTGTGTGTGTATGTGTGTGTGTTTTGAGGGTCTTACTGTGTAGTTCAAGCTGCCCTTGAGTTCACTGTGTAGCTCAGACTGACATCAAACTCGTGGTGATCCTCCTGCCTTAGGGTCCTGAGTGTTGGAATTACAGGTGTGTGCCACCATGCCAGGCCTGTTAAAATACTTGTAACCAGAAAGCTTATATAAAATATATAAAAAATACTGACTTTTGCCTCCATATCATGCATATACATACTTTTAAAAAGAATATCAGGGGCTGGGGATTTAGCTCAGTGGCTTAAGTGCCTGCCTGGCAAGCACAAGGTCATGAGTTTGATCCCCAGTACCACAAAAAAAAAAAAAAAAAAAAAAAAAAAATCAGAAAATATGTAAATGTTTTGGTTTATCAAAAAACAAAGTTTAATTCTTTAGAATAAAAATTCCTGTTAGCAATTTTAATCATCTCTAGTGCACAAAGTATTAGTGTCGTAAAATGTGTGTTCTGGTAAGTTTGGAGTTGTCAGGGATTCACTTTACATGAATCTCAGCAGGGCCTCGGCCCTGCACTGCTGAGTCCTCTTGTGGTCCGAGTGGAGGGGAAGGGGATGTGGGTGGAGGAGTGGACTCCAGGCTGTGCTGGCGTCCTCTGTGTGGTGACTCGGAAGCAGTCGCCACTCGCTTTCCGTCGTGTGGACGTCTGCCCTGGTGCCCTGTGAAGGTTGGACTGCACGGTTCCTAACATTCTGTGCAGCTGTGTGAATCTGATTTTTTTTTTTTCCTATTTCTAGGGTTAGCATAAAAGAATCATCTGTAGCAAAACTAGGATCTGTATGTCGTAGGATTTACAGAATATTTTCACATGCTTATTTTCATCACCGGCAGATATTTGATGAATATGAAGTAAGTATGTTTGAGTAGCTTGATGATTCCTATCAGAGTGACAGTAATCTGTGTTGTTATGACTCCTGCTTTAGTGATTTTGGATAATAAAATGACATGTTTTTCTTCCTTTCTACAGAATGAAACATTTTTATGTCATCGGTTCACTAAATTTGTGATGAAATACAATTTGATGTCCAAGGATAATTTGATTGTTCCGATTTTAGAAGAGGAAGTTCAGAATTCAGTTTCTGGGGAGAGTGAAGCATGAAGGGGATGGGAGAAATGTACCGCTCACGTAATTAACATTAATTATGTTCTGTACATACATCATTTTAGACACATCAATCATGTATCCACAGTCCAGCTTCTGTGTTAGGGTAGGGTGTGTATGCTGTGTGTTACCTTTCAAATGGGAAGTACTTAAGTTATTCATGAGCTGTGTGTTCACTAGAGTGGCACTCATGGTTTTTAAATAAGATTAGTATTATCTGTTTATTATGCCTGTTAATAAAAGAATTTACAGTTTGGTAAAATTGCTGCTAAACAATCATTGGATCACAATCCTCATCAAATAAACCTGTCTGTAAAAAAGATGAGTAAACTTGAGGTTTTGCACAAACCATTTACTAAAGTGGTAGGAAGGCTTTCCCTGAGCTTAGATACGTTAGAAAGTTTTGTAGTATGTAGTTTATCTTAACTGGTAACTTTTCCAGAGTGAGATAAAGGTGTTTTAAAAATTCTCTGGGTGGTTTTTGAAATGCACATACAATTACATGTATACCCAAATATAAATGCACATGAAGTGTTAGTAATACTTAAGTCATCCTCTGTTACATAAAATACGTTCCAGGCCAGCGTACGTGGAAAGGGTGCCCCTTGGCTTGCTAAGGCCAGGCTTCTGCAGGGTGCTCTTTTGCCTCCCCCCGCTCCCCGCTTCAGTGTGAAGCGTCTCCCCAGCAGGCTGTGATTGAGGGGTAGCTTATTCCTATTGATACTTGTGTTAATTGCTTACAGATTATACCTCATCCTCGCAATTGCAGAGCACCACAGGAAAGTTGTATGACATGGGCTCTTGCTTCTCTCTTTTGGGAAATCACTCTTAAGTGTGCAGGAAACAGTCCTTATCCTAGTTGGCTTTCCTGTTAGTAATACTAACCTTTTAATCTAACCCTGGGCAGCATTAAATAGAGACAGAAGTAGCACTGTAGTATTTATGTCCCTTCCCCCAAAGTTTTATGCTTGAATTATACTCCTGTGTGAGGTTATTTGCAATAATTTACAGGTTCCAGTGGTGTTGGTGAATGTTCCTACAGTTTTTGGACTTTGTTATAATTCATGTCTTGAGAAGAATTCAAGTAGAGATTTACCAATCTAAAAATCTACTGGATGAAGTTTTTCTGAAGCACTAGAGCTCTTACTGCCAGACCGGCTGTAAGGAGGCGTGAAGATGGGGGAGAGATTGAGCACATAGTGAAGAAAATGTTCGAAGCCCTCTCTTGCCCAGATTTAACACAAGGAGCACTTCCTTTCCACCTGAAGCTGTACGGATGAGAAGACAAGTGCGTCCGTCCCAGTCCGCTGCCCTTGAGGAGGTCTGCGGGCCGTGTGGTGGCCCAGGCTGTCCCTTGGAGAGGGCTGGCGCACCAGGGTGCATGTCACGTCACCATCACGCCCAGACGCGCTGCCTCCACCTGACTGAGGGAAGCCCATGCTGAGTGCCTGGCACCAGGGAGCTGGCCAAGTTCTGCAGCACATTCGAATATACAGCGGGGTGTTAATGGGAAATAAAATATGAAATCTTTCCTTAAGCCTTCTTCCCTTGACTGTGTTTATATCGACTGCAACCCCCGCCAACGGGGCCAGGCAGGCAACTTCCATGATGCATGCAGGCGCCATGCACAGTGGGCATGGTCAGAGTCCCTGCCGCAGAGACTGCACCCCTCCTCCACTGCACTGCCCGGTAGCTGGGCTCGCCAGCTCCCTGTGGCGTACAGCTTCTCCGGTGCGTCCCCTTCCTTGTCCCTGACCTGAGGGTTCCCTTTGTGTTTCTAGACCCTCTTAGATTCTTGCCATCTGAGCAAAATTAGAAATGTGTGATCATGCTGTTAGAGGTGTGTTAGGATTATAAACACACTTCCTACCGGTTGGGGTGGCTCTTGCTTCTAGTCCTAGCCCTGAGGCCGAGGCACGAGCATCACTGCATAGTGAGACCCTGCCTGCCTCAAAAAAGCACAGCAAAATGAAAAACTGAATCTTCTCCATGATTATTTCCCTTATGTATATGATGACTTTTTTTCCCCCTTGCCTTAGGATTTCCTATAATTTTATTTCGGCAAATACGTTCTTTTTTTTTTTTTTTTTTTTTTTTTTTTGGTTCTGAAGATCAAACTCAAAACTTCACGCAAGTGCTTATGCCGCTGAGCTCAATCCCCAGCCCCCCTGCATTCTAATTTCTATATACTTTGTTTTTTAAATTCTCTCTTTCATTCCCCGTTTTCTCTGCTGTACTAAGAATGGAGTTTAGGGTGATACCAGTCCACATTATTAGCCTTTTTTTATTCTTTTGAAACAAGGCCTTGCTAAATTGCCCAGGCTGGCTTTGAACTGCTAATTTGACTGCCTCAGCCTCCCAGAGTGCCGGGCTGCAGGCTTTTCCAGTGTGATTTTCCTGCCTGTGTATTCTTCGTACAGTACCGCAAGCTTCTTGTCAGGCACGAGACTTACCTAAAGAAGGAAGGACACAATGCATTTCGGTATTAACCTGACTGGTAAGTGGGTGCCCTGACACGACTGATTCCTTTGGCCGCACATACCCTAAAATCAGAATGGGCACCCGTGACGGCGGTTTATCCGGAGGTATGGGGCAGCAATCCAGCGTTCACAGGGTGCTGCTAAGAGGCCTTCTCTTTGTAAATGAAATCGGGACAGTCTCACTGTGGCCTAGGCTGGACTCAGAAATCCTGCATCAGCCTCCTTAGCACCATTTGTTGAAAAGCCTGTTATTTTGTCATGGGGGGGGGGGTAAGAGGGCTTTTTATTGTGTTTTTGTTTTTTGGTTTTTTTTTTTTTTTTTGGTACTGGGAATCAAACTCATGACCTCACACTTGCCAGGCAGGCCCTTATGCCGCCCAAGGTGGTCTCTTGCCTCAGCCTCCCAGAATGCCGGGACTGCAGGCCTGTGCCACAGCCCCTAGCTTGTTTCCAAAGTTTTGAGCAAATTATTGAGCAGCAAAGGAGGTTTTTACATGTTTGGCAAAAGTTTCACTCGTGAATCACACCCTCACCCGAGGGTGTGCTGTGTCCTGGGAGCTGGAATCTGGCACAGTATTGAGGATCTGTAGTCCACCTCTGGAGGCTGAGGCAGAAGGTTCTTTGTGACCAGGAGATTGATTCTGGCCTGGGTGACATACCAAGGCTCTGCCTCAAAAACCAGCAGAGCAGACCCCGAGTTGGTGGCCCTATTGCACAGTTGAAAGGGTTGGGTTCTGCCCATTTATCAGCTCACACACAGCAGCAGTGCTTGGAAAGGAACTGTGAGGTTCATCCTTGTGACTTAAAGTCCCAGACAAACCAGGGCCACAGCCCACCCGGCCTTGAGGCAGAATTGACCAGACTTCGAGCCCTGGAGGCAGAGATGGTGAAGAAGAAGGAGCCCAAAGCCGCCCTCCCCATTCCACCTGGTCATCTGGGCCTGGACACCTAAGGCGCCCAGCATGCCAGCCAGGCCTAGCCACCCCAGGAGGGGTGGGTCGAGTCTCCAGTGAGGCCCAAGCGCCCACTAAGGTGGCAGAGCTGCCTGTCACAGCTGACCTCCTGTGGGATGCTAAGGCCAGGGTCCCATCCCATGGTGACCAAGGACTGGGAGCTTTACAGTGAGAGGGTACTGCCAGGGGACTGAAGGGGTGCAGCCACTGTGCAGCGGCGCGGTCGCTGCCTGCAGGGGTCCCCGCTGTTCACAAGGTGCAGTAGGGCCCTGGAGTGACTCAGCCTCCCTCCCCCTGGCTGGCCCACCACCTGAGTCCTTCCTCACCTCTGCCCGGTGGGGGAGGTGGGGACCATGGTGGCAGCCCCCATAGTCCATGAGGAAGCAGCAGCTGAACGACTAAGTGAGACCTTGTCTCAAAAATAAAGAGGCCTGACAGCTAGCTTAGGTCCTTGCCTTTAGTGACAATGGAAATTAAAACAAAAGCCCAGGGTTGCAAGCGGAGCTTTCACTGGGAGGTGAGGGCTCCTCTGATGGGGTAGCAGGAGGGGTGTGCCTGGCTCAGCCTGCAGGGGCTGCTGCTGGGTGGAGGGTCCCTCTGACTGGGCGCCAGGGCCTTGGTGCCTGGAACAGAACTGGACAAGACATGAAAAAGGCTCAGAAGTATCCATCTGCAGAAGGCAGAGCCAGCCAGGCATGGGAAGACACCCCAGCCCCCAGGGGCGGGAAATGGGTCTTTTGAACCTAAAATCCCTAGGTCATCTCCTCATGCAAATGAGGCAAGGGGACACTGTCCAGTCAGACACTGGCTTGGTGCTACAGCGTGTAAAGCACCCACCAAAAAGCTTGCTTGGCTTCACAGGAGGCGGACTCAGAGTGCCTTCTGATTGGTTGTGCCCATGTGCAGAAGAAGAAGTAAGTGAAAGGTCTTGGGCACAGCGCCAGCGAAAATGGGGAAGCTGAGGCAGAACCATCGCCAAGTTCAAGGCCAGTCTGGGCAGTTTTGTGAGGTGGTTGCTCTGAATAAAAAGGGCGGAGGCCATCCCTCAGCAAGCAAAGCTCGGGGTTCAGGCTCTGATGCCACACACACAAGGCATCCCGGAGATCCTTCATGAAATTCGACCTTCTCTCTTTTTCCTGACCAACAGGACCATAAAGGATACTCTGCGCCTGCTATCAGCACGGGGAAGCTGATCTTTCTGGGTCTCCTCCTTTTGTTTCAAAGTGTCGTGGTGAGTTTTGTGGACTCTGGAAGTAATGGTCATTTTTATCCCCAAAATGAAGTCTTCAGTGTAGAATTCAAGTTTGTCTAAAAGTCACAAAAAATTTCTCAAATATTGGTAACTATTTTCAGAGTAAGAGTGAACAGAAAGTCCTTAAGGTCCCTTAAGTTGTAAAGGTGACATCTTTGAAGGACCAGAATTGGTCCAGTTACTCCCACCCAGAGTCCCCTTGAGAGCAGGTCAGCGTGATTACACCATACACTCCATGACACGTGTGCCACGCCTGTGTGAGGATTGTTTCCATAACATGGTGTGTGTCACATGTACACACACATGAAGATCAGTCTCCATAATGTGTCTGTCACATGCACACCACTCGTATGTGAGGATTCTTGTTGCATAAAATGGCAGTGCAATAACAAATGACATTTTATTATTCCAAAAATCTTACAATGTCAACATCAATGCTAATAAAAATATATAACGGGACCAGCTGTCGTTCACGGGAAGGGGCTGCTCTGCCAATCAAGCCTTCCGGACATCTCAGGAAAGGTGTTGCTGCATCCCGTCAGACCAGATGAGGCTGGGCTTCTGTGGACAGGCCTGGGAGAACACTGTCCTCACCTTGAGGGGGACTGAGACATTCCCTCCCAGGACTCGAATCCCGGACCTCTGTCACTAGGTGTTAGCAAATCCAAAGAGAGGCCGGCACACATCTAGGTGGAAGAGGAGACTCAAGTTTCCCCTTTGCAGTGTTCATGGTTTAAAAGAGGAAGTCAAATCCTTCTGTGGACCGCAGTCTTTACGTCTGTCTGTAAGGCTTGGGCTCTGTGCGGTGTGGGCTGTGTTCCTGGTCCTGCGGCTTGAACCAGGGCTTTGCACAGAGCTCTGCCCGCAGCCCTTTTGAAAATGTCTGTAGGGTGCGCTTTGCACACAGATGTGCCTTGTGGGCACTGTGCCACCGAGGCTGGCACCATGGACGCACAGCATGTCAGCATCGGGTTGCACACAGAATGACCCTTACAATCCAAGGCACACAAAAAAGATTCTGGCTCAAAGAATATTTTAACAAATCAGGGCTTGCTTTGTACATACATGCCATCATCAAAGGCAAAATCTGGGCTGTTATGTTCAGAGAATAGTTATTTACTTTCACTAATCATCAGTGTGTGTGTGACAGAGATGGGGAGGTGGGGGGCGGAGGAGGAATGATTCACTTTTAGCTTAGGACGGGCTCATCCACGCTCTCATGGGTGGAAGGCTGTCCAGAGCAGCCCGGTTGGGATGTTCAGTCTTCTTAGTAGGGTGAGGAAGCACGTTGCGGGTGGACCCGGTGAGAACCGGAGAGGTTACTGCTGCCCCCAGTGGGTCTCCTGCTGGACGTTTTAGTTGGCGGAGTGTAAACGTGATTCTAAACATACGAACACCTTGGCTATTCCTCTTTTCCTGGGAGCTCAAGCCCCAGCTTACACGGACTGGAGGAAGGACCTGGCGAGGCCGCCGGCAGAGCCCACAGGTCCCGGGAGGCCCAGCCCTGTCCCACATCCCTGTCACATGCAGGTGACCTGCATCAGTCCATCCTCAGGGTCACCCTGGCTGTCGTCCAGCTCCCGGAGGGCACTGTGGCCCTGGCCGGGGCTCCTCTCCTTGGCCCAGTCCTCCCCAGACAGGGATGGTGACAGGGATGAGGGCTGAAGGCCACCCTGGGCGGGGGACCTGCCCTCTTGTGGTGGCTGTGTGCACCCCTTGGAGCCAGGGCTCCCGCTGCAGGCCTGGTTTTGGTTCTCGCCTCTCAGGATCCGGCCTTCACCCTGCAACACAGGTGACAGTGAAGTTAGGACACAGCCATCTGACACAGCGACAAGGGGGCAGGGGTGTGGCCTGGCGGGGGGCCACGTGCTCAGGTGTCCAGGGCTTGGAGCCACTGTGACGCAGGCACGGAGAATTCAGCCTGGTGTGCCCCTCTGCACCAGCAATCCCCTGCCCGCTCTCTGACAGCCTGCTCTGCTCACGGCCACCTGGCCAGGCCCCAGCTCAAGCATTACCCAGGGCTGGCAGTGGCCCTGGGGCAGAGGCAGGGCTAAAAGCCTGGTCTCCGCCAGGGGACTGTGCCACTGTGGACTTCCCTGAGCTCAGAAGGGAGGACGAGCAGCCCCTGTGGGGTCACAGACTCCCAAGTGACCTCGCCGCGTACGGCCTACACAGCAGATGAGACCCCACATGCTGGAGTAGGGCCATGTGCTCTCGGGCACAGATGTGTTTTGTCTTTTTGAGACCGAGGTCTCGCTATGCAGTTCAGGCTGGCCTTGAGCTCACTTTGCAGCCCAGGCTGGTCTCCCAACAATCCTCCTGCCTCAGCCTCCCAAGGGTGGGACTACAGGCGTGCGTCACCACACCCTATCAGTTCACTTCTTGTTGAGCATTCCTAAGTGAACAGCCGCCTGTGGTAGACGTTAGATCACAGGACATTTAGCCCTGCTGCCCTGGAGAATTTCCTACCAAGTACACACACACACTGTATTCTCTTACCCTGTGATACTAAATTTAATAAATACCTCGTGAGCGCTGCTGCTGCTTCTTCCACCCACCCGCATCCCAGGGAGTGACAGCTCTCCCAGCACGCAGTTTGCCTTGTCCTTGGGACTACGCTTCGGCTGGGTCGGTAGCACTCCGACTCTGGGAGGCCGTGGCCATCAGCCGGGTCTGGAGGAAGCCAGGGCTTGTCCAAGTCATGGCACTGGCCCGACCCCTCACTCTTTCCCCACATACAAGAAGACAGATTTGTGCTAAGTGATTGTGTTTCCTGAATAAAACTGTCTTTCAATTACAAAAATAACACATAGAAGACTCGGTAAGCCAGGCATGGTGGCACACACCTGTAACTCCAGGACCCGGAGGCTGAGGCAGGAGGATGGCCGTGAGTTTGAAGCCAGCCCAAACTGCAGAGTGAGACCCTGTCACAAAACAAACACCACCCCCATCCTCACCCCAAAAGAAAAGAAAACCTGGTAAAAAAGCAGAGAAAAAAGCAAAACTCATCTGTATTCCCGTCTCCTGGAAAGTCAGTATTAAAATCTTGATATAGTTTCTCCAGGGCTCTTCTGTAAATGTGCACGTGTTTGCATGCACACGAGGGCAGGGACGCTAAAGCAAAGGCTGGACAGCTCACGCTGGCACTGGGCACACCGTGGACTCCTCTGTGGGCCAGTCCCAGCCGTGTGCGCTCGGCCAGGGAGGGTGCTGGCCCACCGTCTACAGCTTGAGACCCCTCCCCAAAGGGACAGCAGTTTTGTGACCTGGCCGCTTACACCCGGTCACTCACAGCTGTGTGCAGGTGCCCAGTGGCGGCCCCTGCTCAAGTCGCCAGCTGCTCAGTCGCCAGCTTCCTCCCCACTCCCAGCGGTGAGAGTTTAGGTTAGCGATTTGGGCCTGACCAATTCACAAAGGGAGTGGACACTCACCTCCAGGCTCCGGGCCACCGAGCTGCGCAGTGCTGGCCTCTGCAGGAAGACGACCTGCTTCGTAGCCAGGTTCCCGTCCCTGCAGGTAGAGGGCAGCGTCAGCATCTGTGAATCGCGAGCAGCCACCTCGGCTTGCAGGCACCCTGGCCCCCCAAGCTGTTTGCAAAAGACTCCTTGCGCCCCGAACTATTTATGGAATAGGACCACCGCAAGCTGCAGCTGGAGATGGGGAAAATCCTCATTATGAGGGAAAACAACCCACCACGCTCATGTAACTCAGCTTCCTTTGGGGTGCTGGGGACAGAGCCTGGTGCCTGCACGCTGGCAAGCGCCCCACACTGTGCCCTGCCTGTCTTCACCCTCGTCCCCTGCTGGGTTCCGCCACCTGGCATGCATTCCCAGTCTGTGTAGCCAGGGCCTCATCTACGGCCAGCAGTGGCTTCCAGAAAATCCTCAGCAGGCAGCCGGGGCAGGGGCCGGGCTCCCGCAGATCCACGCCTGAGTTGAGGGGTGGGAGGGGACAGGAAATCCAGGCTCTGCACCCCCAAACCCTACAGGTGGAGGGCGGAGGAGACTTCACGAGTGACTTTTGGCTCTCCTCCTCCTGCCCCTCCTCCTCTTTGCTATTCTGACACAGGGACTGACCCCGGCCCCACTGAGCTGCATCCTGGCCTTCAGCATTTTCCTTGGCGGCAGGGTCTCCCTAAAGTGCCCGGTCACTAATCGCCCCAGGGGGATGGAACCTCTCCATCCTCCTGCCTCAGCCTCCAGAGTACAGGATGACAGGCATACCACTCTTAAACCACCCGTCTCACCCCACCTGACCAAGGACTCCAAGTAAGTGAGGCGACAGCAGCCTTGGGGGGCTGCAGGGACTCCCTGCTTTCACCATCTCTAGGATCAAGAGCCAGGCTGAGCTCCCCAAAACCACCTCCCTGGTGCAGGGAGCAGAGCCCCACCGAGCTCCCCGGGATGAGTCCCTCCCCACAATGGTATCCCTCTGAGCCAGAGCGATTGCCTCACAGGCCCTACTGTCCCTGAGGCTGAGGACCCCGTTAGGGCCGGGACCAGGACCGGGACCAGGACCGGGCACATGGAACCACCACCACTGACCAAGCTGCTGCCCGGGCCTTGGGGAGCTCAGGGCGAACCCCCTTCTGATGCTCCTCCAGCCCTCTGTCTGCCTCCAGCCCCGCCCACACCTCTCATGGCCCGCCCTGCATTCTTCCTCCACTGTGAGTCCCCAGCAGCCTCTGTGGGCCGGTTGGGGCCCCTCCTCTTTGCGGGCCTCCGTGGACTCTGTCCAGTGACAGTGCCGCTCCGCATCCCCCTTTCTCGATTTCAACCCCGGGCTGAGCTGGGCTGCAGCCCAGTCTGTGTTTGCTTCAGTGACTCTCCTGGAACCTGCTTTCTTGAGCTGCACACACACTTTTTGTGGCTGTATAATATACTAGGCAGTGATGCACCAAGGGTTTCCTTTACTTCTGAGAACATAGGTTGTTCCTGGCTTCCTGCTGGTTAGGATCCTGCTGTTATAGAAGCTTGCCTGGTCTCCCTCTTATGGGTTACTTCTTAGGAGCAGAGTTATTGGGTAAAGTCAGTTAGTTATTGGCAGGCACTGTAGGTTTGCCTTAGCAAGAAACAAAACAGCAGAAAAATAAGAGACCGAGTGGGCTCCGCGCGGGCAGAGCTGTGCGCATGTTCCCAGGTGGGACCCTGTCACTCCCAGCCATCTCTGCGGCCGCCCAGTGTCCCTGCGGGTGAGGGCAGCGAGACCGGGCTCTGCTTCCCAGGAAACCCCTGGCACCAGGGCCATGGGAATGGCTGTGGCCAGTGTTGCTGAGTAACGACTTTTGTTATGCAAAGAGCCTCCAGGAAACCACAGCCCTGCCCACGGAGCTCTGCTCAGACTCTGCCTGAGTGGTTGCCATCCCACTCGCACCATGGAAAACCCAAGGCCACGATGCCAGGGAGTTCTGAGAATATCGTGTCTATCCCTGAAGTGGGAACAGGAAACGGCTTCTATTTTATTTCTTTTTGAGGAAGGGTCTTGCTATGTAGTCCCGGGCGGCTTTGAACTCACTGTCATCCAGGTTGGCACTAAACTCTGGTGATCCTCCTGCCTCAGCCTCCTGGTACTTTTATTTTCAAACACTCCTGTATCTCCTTCATTGTGTATGACGTGTAATGTGACCCTGGGGACAGCTGTCTCCAGTGCCTGTGGCTGGATGAGCAGCGGGGAGACACTGGGAGAGCAGTGACTACAGAGCCGGGAATCCCTGGGTGCAGCCCGGCTCTGGGGAGCACTAGAGCCCACACTGTGGGTCTCTGGCTCATTCTTCTATTGGGGAGCTTTGGAGAGAAACAAGTCTCTGTCCGTGGTGGCGGTGCCCCTCCACCCCTGCGCCTGCTGGAATGGTCCAGTACCCCCTTCTCTGTCCAGCCTCCAGTTAGTGGACCACGGGGAAGACAGGTCAGAATAAGGGCTGTTGGGGCGGAGCCCGTGAGGGCTAGGGGAGGAGCTGGGGGAGGGGCGGTTCCGGCCCTGCTCAGTAGAGAACCAGAGCCGCCTCAGCCTAGGGCTATCCAAAGATAGGGCTGGGGCGGACTGATTCCTGGACAGACCGGAAAGGCAGCCAGGCTGGCTTGGCGATGCACACAGGTGTTCCCAGCGCTGTGGGAGGCTGAGGCAGGAGGAGTGCAAGTTCTAGCTCCAGCTAAACTTATCGAGACCCTGTTTCAACCCCAAAACTAACAGAAACGGCAGGGACGTAGCTGGTGTGAGGCCCTTGGGGATTAGGAAAGCAGGAATGTCCCCACGGCCCCAGGAGTTTTATGCCAACTTTCGCCTTGACTTCTTGTGGGGAGCAGGATGGCCCCGCTGGCAGCACTGCGGATGACAGGGGAGGAAGGCACCTGGCACCAGCTCCTGCTGAGAGCAGTCACCCTGGGTAGGCAGAGAGGCGGGACTGTGCACCTGATGTTTCCACGGCAACCGGTTCAACCTTGGAGACGCCTAGGCCTAGGGACAGGGATCAGCACCCTGCACCCAGAGATGCACTGGGCACAGGCCAGGGCACCGTGGTGACAGGACGCGTGTGAGTGACAGGCGGGCCCACCGCACAGACCCTGCCAGGAGGCCCACTGAGACCACGCTGTGCCCATGGGGCGAGCTTGGAAAGGAGGGCGTTTGCTCCAGCCCAGGTTCCGGTGGCTCGGGCTCCAACTCGGGCTCATCTTCCAGGCCCAGCACACATCTGTGCGAGGTCCTTATTTCCTTCTGTGGCTTTCTCGTCTTCTCATCCCCAGCTGATTAGGTACCCAGTGCCCGGGCTCAGGGCACCTCGGCTTAGGACAGACTCAGCGACTATGCCAGAATGACAGCCTCCAGCTTTCTAGGGATTCTGGTTCTGCTGAGGGACGGGCCCCCGCCCACCCCCATCACAGCCTGCACCCACTACCCTAACAGCTCTGTGTGGGCAGCACTTTCCCACAGTCACTCACTCAATCAATCAAAATGACAGTCCATGAAGCTTGGTGTTACCGCCTCACACCCCAGAGAGGAGACTGAGGCACACAGAGTTGTCCAAAGCCGCGCCGCCAACACAGTGGAGCAGAGTTGCCATGAGATGAGACCTGTTCAGGTCCAAGGCCGAGCTTGCGGCTCCTCTGGCCTTGGAGAAATTCCTCACTGTCTTCCCCCTTGGCTAAGGTCAGCTGGAATTTCTTTCCTTTAAAGATGACCTGACTGCCAGCAGTGACCCCTGTCTGGACAGGGCAGTGTGACAGTGAGCAGGACAGTACAGTAGGGCGAGAGCAGGCAGGCAGCCGACTGACAGTCGTCTTCACCAACAATCCACCTCGGCAGGTGGCGACACAGACCTCAGACTCCGGTCCACTCAGGCAAAGGGACAGAGGACGGTCAGCGCCGCAGGGGGCCAGGCTGCCTAAGGCCATTTCTGTCCAAATGCGTTTTGCACTCTCAATACTCCAGGCTCCTAGCTGATGTGGAAGCAGGGATCTGCCACTCGGTGCCTCCGCCCTCTGCTCGCCCAGTGCCTGCAGGTCCTTTCCGTGTGACGGCGTCATCTGCGAACATCTCTGCGCACTTTCAAGGGTGCGTTGGTCCCAGAGCTGCCCGCTGAGACAGCACTTTTGAGACCTGATGGACAGCCCCGAACCTGTGCTTTCGTCTTCTGGATCACTTTTCCGCGGTGATGTTCTTGGACCTACTGCAGTGGCTGACAGAGCCTGACACAGCCCCCGGGCAACCGGCAGAGGGACAGAGCCCCAGGTGGCCTGAGGGACAGGCCTGGCCCTGCCATGGGGACAGAGCAGGACTCTTCCCCTTCACGACACCCGCGAACCTTCCGCAAGAGTGATGTGTTTTAGGAGCTGTGACAGCACAGGCCCCAGCCCCTCCAGCCTGTGACCGTGTCCCCTGGGGTGGCCAGAGCTGACCGTGTCCTGCTGGGATCTCTCAGCACTGGCTGCCTGGCTCCAGACCCTGTCTCAGAAGCACCACTGGGTGCCATTTGACAGGGAGCTCCGGGGGGCAGCACTGGGCAGCAGCACGAGGGATCAATTGGGCACCGTGAGGACGGTTTGTGTAGAAGGGGACCCAGGAGTCACCTGGTCTCCCTCACCTCGGTCCCTGGGACTGGGCTGCTATGTGCTGCACCTCCCCAGGGAGCTGGGGCTTGAGTCCAGGTGTGGAGGAGACACGGCCCATATGGATGCATTAACCCACGGATTGTTAGGAAGCAGGCTGCGGGTCACTGTGGGCGTGTTTGTGGGGTGCACCTTGTCCCCGCCGTGCCAATCCCCTCTCTGCTTCCTTCCTGCAAAGAGCTGAGCAGCTATGCCCACCACACCGTTCCCATGACGTCCACCCTGCCTCAGCCTACAGCCACAGAGCCGCCCATCATGAAACTGTAAGCCCAAATAGCGACTTCCTCCTCCAGTCCCCTTTCTCAGGCATCCAGTCACTGATGCAGAGCTGCCCACCACCCTGGGATGCTGACAGGGCTGGGCCACCACTCAGGGATGGCAGGGAGGCGGCAGGGACAGGTGGGCTGTCTGCCTGTCACCCTGATAGCAGTGCCGGTCATTTCCCGGTCCCACAGAGGATGAGAGCACGTCCAGGCCGAGGGGAGGGCAGAGCCGTTACATAGAGGGTTAATTGGCTTCTTTAAAAACTGAGTAACTATGCCAGGTGTGGTGGTGCAGCCTGTAATCCCAGCCCTTGGGAGGCTGAAGCGGGAGGTTCACTGCTGGGCTACTAGAACAGAAAGAAAATAATAGCAGGTAACACACAGGGCGAGAGGTTTTCCTTCCTAGGAAAGTTAGTGCAGGGAGAAAAGGAACCAGAAGTCAGGCGTGAAGCATTGGTGTCGGCGCTAAGGTAGTGTTTGCCATGGTGCAGGCTGCAGGCAAGTCGGTGCCCCAAGGGAAACTGAGGCAGGCACTGTGGAGGCGGAACCGGGCTGCTGCTCCCCACCCAGGGTCCCTGTCCCCAGCCCGCCTGAGTTCTGAGTGCACCTTGAGCAGCGGAGGCCACGCGGTCCTTGGCCTTACCTGTCCTGTCTCAGCACAGGCGTGGGCAGCACGCTGGTCAGCAGCCATCCAAACTCTGCCAGGGTGTGCAGCAGGGGGCCATAGTCTGCCTTCACTGAGGCGCCCTGCGGGACAAGGCGTGGGCTCGTGGGTGGAGGCAGGGGTGACCGGTGGGGGACCGGCTAGAGGGCAGCAGACAGCCCAAGAGAGGACAGCTGCCCCTCCTCCCTGGGGACCTGAGCCCAGGGCCCGAGGGCAGCGAGGTGGAGAAGCTGTCAACCTACTTTCACCTGGAACTTCACTTCTCCCCAAACCCCTCCCTGCCCTTCTTCAGGCTGGTCACCTCTCCTGTCCACTGCAGGCCAGCGAGGCACAGGACAGCCTGCAAGGCCCTAAATCCCATGGTGAAGACACCAGCATCAGCTCGACCATCCCCCCTCCCACCCCTGGGCTGTCCACGGGTGACTACGCAGCAGTGGTGTCTTCTCTGGTGGCAGAGGACAGTGCCAGTGCTCACATCAGGCCAAAGGTGGCTCAGTGAGCCTGGGGGAGGGGGCGGGTGGTCAGTGGAGGACCGAGCAGGACCGGAACTCAGCATTACCCTCACTGCTGGGTCTTGGGCAGGGATTTGGAATCTCCGTGCCGGGGACTGTGCTTGGGGCTGGGGTCCTGAGCTCTCCCGGAACCCGCACAGACAGGAAACGTGTGTTCTCCCGCATCAGGAAGGAGCTGTAGCTCACCAGGGCAAGTCCAGCCCTGACCGTGTGTGGGCAAGGGTGCTGCAGGCTGGGTCCCAGACCCACAGTGTCCCCTCGTGGCTCACCTCGATGACGGTCCACTGCTCCACCACAATGGCGTCGTGTCCCCTCCTGGGAGCTCCCGGAACCCCGGAGCCCTCCTCCTCGTAGATGAAAAACCCCTCCAGAGACTTCGGCAAGGGATCCCCTGCGAGGAAGAGAGGGGGTCAAGGAGGCCATGGCTCGGGTCTTTCTAAAGATCAGGATCAGACTCAGACACCCAAAGAGGAGGCTGGGAGAGGACACCTCATCCAGACATGGGCTCTGCCTGGGCGTGACACCAGCCTCACCCCAAAAGGTTTCTTTCCCTTTAGATGGCAAACCAGGATGTCAGGCTGCCCGTGGGCAGGCAAACACTGCAGGAACAAGACTGCCATGAAGGACACGACTCAGTGAGAGGAGTAGGTGGGAACCCAAGAAGCTCCGCGAGCCACTCTTTAGCTGGAATCAAAGTCTGGTTTCTGTTCTGTGTGAAAATGTTAATTAAATCATTAAGGGAAACAACATAATAAATGTTTAATCTTTAGCCAGAGGTGGCGGCGCACGCTTGTCATCCCAGTGCTCAGGAGGCTGAGGCAGGAGGACCACCTTGGGTTGGAGACCAGGCAGCTACATAGTGAGTTCAGGGCCAGCCTGAACTGCACCATGAGACCCTGTCTCAAAACAAAACCAGCAAGTTCCATCCTTGGAGTTCCAGGTGGGCGGTTACAGTCAGTGGGAGGTAAGGTTTGTAAACAGCAGTTCTTTCTCTGAGATGCACTTTACCTCCAGCCCCCATGAACAGTTTCAGGAAAATCCTAAACTGATGTCATTGTCTGGAGAATTCCTGCAGGAAGGAAGTTTTAGGGGCAGCGGGGCCTCTGGGGCTCTTTCTGGAGTAGCTGACAATTGCCAGCCAGGCCACATGGCATCCATTTGTGGAAACTCTTTTGTCTTCTCTGTCCAACGAGAACATTCTTTCCCATGGTCACGGTGACACATCTTTTATGTAGTACAATGTGACTTCAAAGTTTCTGAGGCTGCGGTTCTCTAAGTAACAAAGGCCCGGGAAGTTGCAGAACCATGTTTTACGCTGAAGAATTACAAAAGACAAACGTAATTTCAATGTACCTTTCGGTTTTAATTTTTATTTGTAGGCTATGAAGTCCTGCTTGTTATGTTAGGCGAGTGTTCAGGCCCTGGGCTGCAGCAGCTGTTAGCCAGCTGTTTGACTTAGGGACACGCGCATGCTGAGCTGCCCAGCCGGCCTCGAGCCTGTGATCCTCTTGGTTTGGCCTAAGAGGACAGACGCCCAACGCCACACTCGCAGAGTGTGAAGTTAAGCGCAAATCATTTCTACCATCTTTTTGTTGACGTCTCTGGTCTTCAGGGTAGGACATCACAGAGAGCAGATAGCTTTTGGTGTGGCTCCGAGGACAGTGACCTTGGGCTGCTGCTGGCCCTGGTTCCCTGCTCTGGGCACAGCCTTCGCCTCCTTTAGACGTGCTTTTTCCTGTGGCTCCAATGACGGAGACAAATCCTGCACCAGCTTTAAGACCATCTGCACCACAAGTCGGTGAGTGTGTCAACAACAACTGGCCAGTGCCACCGTGCCACGCCGTGCTCTCCAGGTTCTGGGACATGGAGGCCACAGGTGCCGTGCCCTGGGCTGCATCCCTGTCCAGGCCTCAGCGTTGCTGGCTGCCTCACCTTGGTGGTGTGAAGGCAGGAATGCATGGCAAATTCACACACAGGGTCAGAGGCCCACTGATGAGAAGCCACGGTGGCAAAGGAGCCGGCCAGCCACGGACACGGGGTGCAGGCCTGGGGCAGGTGGTGTGGTCAGGGCCGCCAGACCAGCTCCATGAGGCTGGTGGGCAGACATGGAGCCCAAAGTTTGTCCTGCTTGCTGTGTGGAAGTGGACCTCAGTCCTCTCACAGATTCTCCCTCCTTGCTGGGCTCTCAGAAGCTTTTGAGGTCTGACCAGGCGCGGAGGCAGGTATCCTTGTGTCTTTGGAACGTCCTCCTCACAGAGGTGACAGCCAGGGAGGGGCCAGGGAAGGCCTGTGGCCAAGTAACCAGGCGGTGCTTAGCAGTTAGCCTTTGAGGTCAGGGGTGAGGTGAGCACAGTGGGCCATTGCCCAGGAACTGTCCCTCTGTTGTCACCTCTGATTGCTGCACGATCAGGGCTTCCCAGCCATGGTGCCTGGGGTCTGTGTACAGAGACCAGGCCTGGCCACACTGAGATGGGGAAGTCCTCCTGCCGACCACCTTGTCCCAGCACCAGGCCCAAGAGGGCATGCTGTGTGGTGACCTAGGACAGAGTGCGGCCTGATCCTTCATCCTGACAGTGTTGGGGCTGAACCCCAACAGCAAAGCCAGCACACCTTTACCCCCAAGACGAGCTCCAGGGCAGGAGAGCGGCTCCTTCAAAACAGATGCGCTGTGTGATGCTTCTCTCAGGACCTGGCACAGATGCTGATGACCCAGGCAAGGCATTGCAGGAATCCCCAGCACGCATGGCACAGACGTGTGTGGTAACGGGTTCTCCTCCAAGTGAAATCCAAGCGCTCGGAGAGACCACAACCCGACACGGCCCCTGCTACTAAGTTTATATGCTGGTGTGGCGGTTCCAAAATGGGTGGTCAGTTTAACACCACCAAACTGCACTGGCGTGGTGCTGAGCGTGGATGGCCCACCTGAGGATGCTGCCAGCCTAAGGAGGAGACCTGGAGAGGAGGAGTAGCCTGTGGGTTCTCCTAAGTGGTGTTTGGAGCCCTTGTCATGCTGGCTCCCCTAATACAAACTCAGCTGCTATCATTGGAGGCACTCAGGACCTCACTGTCACTGAGGGTGGTTTTGGGGGGAGCCTGCTCCTTATTTTGAGCATTGCTTCCTGGCTCCAGAGCAGAACCCCCAACCTGTTGGCACAGCTCCTTCACCCTGCTGGCACAGACTTTCTAGCTTCTACTGCTGACCTTTGGGCCTTCCCAGTGCAGATCCATGAATAGATTTGCGTGAGTCATTGTTGTGGGCTCTAGGCCCCCAGTTGGACTCATGGGAGGCAGTGTCACGGGCTCTAGGTCTTCAGCTGGACTCATGCAGGACACTGCTGTGGGACCCAGGCCCCTGGCTGGATTCTCTAGATCTTTGGGTGTGGACAGATTTCCTGCATTTTCTTTGTATTTGAGTTCTTGGGTGGCCATGATAAATAACACTATAAATTACGCGTCTTATAAATGTTATAGTTCTCCTTGCAACCCCTGACCACGACTGCTGGGAAATGTTTTCATTACACGTACACAATGAAGGTATCAGACACTTTCACTGTGATCATGTGAAAAGTGTGAGTGCGTAGATTTTCCTAGTTTTCAATTCTATGAAAACGCGTGTGGGCGTTGTCAGCGCACGATGGCCACACAGGCATGTGTGTGCTTCACCTGTCTCTCTGTGCATCACGGTCCGGTCAGCTCGAGGCTCTTGACACAGGTGACAAACTCTGTTGACAGCCAGTTCCAGGGCCCACAGCTTAGCCAGGAGCATACTTGTCCCTCTCCCGCCTGCATTCCCACCACCTGCTCCGTCCTGAGGGTCACTGGAGCGGGCAGGGATGAGCCCAGCTCTGGGTGTCCCTCTGTTGTGAAGCTCGGGCTCCTTGGAGGCAACTGCTCAGGTAGGGGCTGTCACCTGGTCTCTGCCACACACCTGCTCTCAACACGCACCTTGGCAGCCCACTCTGCTCGTAACTCTGTGCACTCTCTCTCTCTGGCCCGCAGCAAGAGCAACGTCCCATGTCCCAGGTCCTAAAAGGGACAGGGAGGAGCCGGAGCACAGGCTGGCATGCGATTTGCCATCTCCTGCCTGGTTTCCTCTTAGGAGAAGGGAGCAGTCGCACCGCCACCCAGGGCTGCTTTGGGACGGAGGAGGCTGGGTGCAGGCCCAGGGCGCAGCATCGTGGGGTCCTGATCGTATGCCAGCCCCGGCCGGGCTCTGTGGGTCTCTCCCTGTCCCTGACCTGCCAGGCTGCTGCCAGGGACAGCACCTGGCTGTCAGCGACTGGGACCTGCGGCCTCCTGGGCCAGCACCAGTGACCCCTGCCATGTGGGAGCTGCTGCCTTTCAGGGGCTCCCTCCTGGACTGTGGCCCGTGGGTGAGGCACAGCTGCGATTCTGAAGCTCTCCCAGCCAGGCCACTGGCTCCTCAGCACCCAAGGGTGGGCAGACACCTGCGTCACTCACAGGGCGATCCCCTCGGCACCCGCCAGGAGAGCCTTAAATGACACACCCAAAGCTTACCCACGGACCAGCTGCTCCTGGGGGCCCGGTGACGGTGGCAAGGGTCCGGGGGACACATACACAGAGTCCCTGGCTTATCACAGGCCAGGCCTGTCTTTCATCGACTCCTTCATAGGCTAAGATTCACCAAAGTGAGGACATGGCGCCCAGAGCACAGAGTCACCAAGCAGTGTGGCAGGGAAGAGCACCCTCGGCTCTGGGAGCTCCTCTCTCGGGTCCCAGCCCCGAGGCCCCCTCTTCCCTTTAACCCTCGCTGCTTCCAAGGCGCACTCGGAAAACATTTCTGATGCCCCACGTCCTGAGAAGGGACCACCAGGACCACCCCAGGCCACCGTGCCTGGAGCTCGGTCCCCTCGCTGGGCAGCAGCACACAAGGGCACACACACGTCCTGACTGTGGCCATCAGTAAGGGACGGTGCCGGTGGACACCAGGAAGGTGCTCCGAGACCTCGGCTCTTCTGTCCTCCGCCTTCAGGGTTCGGGTCCTTAGGTTCCTGCTTTCATCACCCCTCTCCTCGTGTATTTTTGTCCTCTAGTTTCCTTACTATCTCTTTTCTTTCCTTTAAATTTTCCCCTGGCCTTTTTTCTTTTTTGTCTTTTTGAGACAGGGTCTCTCTGTGCAGTTCAGGCTGTCCTTGAATTCATTTTGTAGCCCAGGTTGGCCTTGAACTCACAACAATCCTCCTTCCTCAGCCTCCTGAGTACTAAGATTATAGGTGTGCACCACCAGGCCTAACAAACAGCTTTTCTTTTAATACTAATCTTTCTTTTTTAAAAAGCAAATATTTCTCCTATAAAGGCATTTTTGGGACATTTTTGTCATTTTTCTGAGAGACAAGAATTGAGTATGTATTCAGCTGCAAGTGAAGGAGAAGGCTGGAGAGAAACAGACCAGACCACCAGGCAGCAGCACCTCCTGGACCTGAGATCCCCACTGCAAAGCTGTGGTGGTGGCCGTGACCGTACTGTGCAAACCTCAGCGGAGAGATGAATGTGGACGTGGGCTCAGGGCGCTTGCTGCGTCCCACAGGTTCTGTGGGTCCGTTTGCCTCGCTGCCTGCTCCCAACCAGGCATTGCATCTCTGGGTGTCCCTTCCCTCAGCAGGACTCAGCTGCAGCCTGAAGCCGTGAGCTAAGTGACCACTGAGCGGTGCCCTCGTCCTCGGGGCTCAGAGGGCAGCTCACACCACGCTTACCTCTGGGCGGGTCCCAGCACACAAAGGCGTCCGTCAGGGAGAAGCCTTGCTTGTAGTAGAAGGTGGTCAGCTCCAGCCAGTCGGCGTCCAGCGAGCTGACGACGGCCCCCTTCCTGGTCACCTTCATGGACAGGGCGCCCTCCTGGTAGCTCCAGCAGCCTGCATCGTCCTCGAAGGCGTTGAAGGCCGCGTACAGCCTGGGGTCTGGAGGCAGCATGGGGAGGCGAGTTAGGACCGGAGGCCAGGGGCTCCGGACGCTGGGAGGATCACTCAGGTGACGGAGAGGGCCTCGGAAGCACCCGGCGCCCCAACCCCGCGGCCACCTCATGCCATTCACAGAGCTAGGGCCACGGAGGTGACAGTGCAGAATCCTAGCAAATGCGGTGGCAGTTAGTGTCTAAAGCTGCTGCCGACTGGTTTCATGAAAACTGTGACTCTGTTTATTTATTTGTTTTTTAAGACAGTTCAGGCTGGCCTTGAACTCACTTTGTACCCAGGCTGGTCTCAGTCTCCCAAGTGCTGGGATTACAAAAAACTGTGATTCTTTAATACACATTGTGCACCCAGATATAACACATACTGTTTTGCGTTCTATTAGTATCATGTTCTTATGCATCAATTTATAAATTAATTTTTTTTGGATGGTGCTGGGTTTTGAACCCAGGGCCTCAAGCATGCTATATAAACACTACCACTGAGCTGTCCCATGGGCCCTATAAATTGGGTTTTTTGTTTAAAGTTATGCCTTTGAGATCTAAGTAGTTATATAGATCTTACTCATTTATTTCAAGGACTGCATGGTACTACAGTTAATTGTTCCCCTTTTGATAGACATTTGATAGTCATTTCTAGATTTATTTACTATTGGTTTTCTGAAACAGAGTCTCTCTCTGCAGTCCAGGATGGTACTGAACTTGAAGGGATCCGCCTGCCTCAGCCTCCTGAGTGCCAGGGGACTGTGGGTGTGAGCCACCTCACCTGGTTTGCTTCCATTTTTTTGCAAATTATTTTTCATGTCTCCCTGGAATGTGTGCGAGGACACTGGAACCACACATGGACATGGAAACGCCAGGCAGTATCTTCTGCTTGGCTGGAAATTGGTGAATTCTCACCCTAGGGGCCAGGGACCCGCGGCCGTGACTGTTCCGGGAAGCAGGCTCAGCAGCGTCACAGACAGAGTACCCAGGACCTGTGAGCTTCAGCATCCCGGGTCTCCCTCCTCCATCCCGGGGTGGGGGCGGTTCCGCTGCGAGAAAGTCACTACCAAGCAGGTAACTTAAGCAGTCAGCACCACAGCTTGAGCCTGAGGAGAGGGGATCGCCTTGCTGACTGGGCCTTGGGGCTCAGGGACATTGAGGGGGGCCAGACCCACAGGCCACCAGGGCTCTGCCCTGCATTGGGAGGCTAAGTCAGGAGGATTGCTGTGAGTAGAGGCCAGCCTGGGCTATGTAGTGAGACCCTGACTCAAAAACAAACAAACAAACAAACCAACAAACACTGTAAAGGTGTCAGAAAACCTGAATGGCCCCAAATAAACCAGTAACTACTCTCAATGGGGCCCTGAGGAAACCTGCACCTAGGCAACCAAGAGCCAAGCCACTGTCTGAGTTACTTCCTGCTCCTGTGGCTGGGATAACTGCTGCCCTCGAGTTCCGCCTCATACTCTTGCTGAGGGCAAAGAAAGCCAGTTAATCTCCCAGGTGCAAATGATCCAGGGGCTGGGACACCCACACAGCTTCCGGGACAGGGCAGGGTGCCCGGAGGAGATGCCTGGCTGTGACACTGCTCCAAGGGGCCGGGACTCCTGGAGAATCAACCTTCCGCCCTGGAGACCAACAGTGACCTCCAGTTAGAGGAAGATTAAACAGGATTTACCAAAAGATCCTCATGAAAGAAGGTAACAGTTCAAAAGCCAAAACCACAGTCATGTTTGCTGATAGGACAAAGGAGAATTCAACGCTGAATTCTTTCTTTCTGTCTTGTTCTTCTTGTAATTCACAAATGAGTCCCCAAGCCTGAGTTCAAAAAATGAGGCAAAAACATATTTTAAAAAAGCAGTGCTGATTTATTTTATCCTGGGCCCAGCGACACAGGGCAGCTGGAGACTGCCAAAGCTGTGCGTTACTTGCCGCTTTTAAGTATATATCACAATTTACAAAGTAAGGGGGTTGTGGGCGTGGGTCAGGAAAATTGTTAATGAGGAAGACCTTTGTTTTCCTTAGGAGAGCATGGAGCAGTCTACAGTAATTAACAACCCCTGTTAACTCATTTTAGCAGCACATCTGTTATTTGTAGAGGGCAACAATGGTTAACATATCATTTAGGTAAGATTTTACAATTCTTTACAGAGGAGAGCATTGATTAACATATCAATTAGGTCACCCAGAGGGAGAAAGAAAACACATACACAGTAAGGCCAGGTTACAGGTATTTTGGTATAATACAAACATAATAAAGGTCTCTTTTCTAGTGTACAACAGTTCTGAGGTGGGGTCTCACCCTGTTCCCCAGACTGGCCTCAACTGATCCTCCTGCCTCAGCCTCAATCCAGTTTCAAAACGTGGAGAGCCCTGTGGGACCCACTAGTGTGGACTGCAGTCTGAAACTTTTCAGATCGCCTCCTGTTGTGGTGATCTTAAAATTAAGCACAATTTGGATTAATTCATTAAATCTTCATAATCTTTAGCCATTTGCTTTGAGAACACCTTCAAAAATGTATTTTGCTAAATTGAAATTAGAACCATATTCTCTTGTTTGTTTTGTTCCTGAGACAGGGTCTTCCTGTGTGGCCCAGGCTACGCTAGAACTCAGGGTGACCCTCCTGCCTCGGCCTCCTGAGGGCATCTGCCACCACACCAGCCCTGTGTTCCCCACCCAGCACAGGCTTACCTTCTCCCTTCCTTGGCTTGGTGGGGCTGGGGCTGCCCTCAGGCTCCCCCTGGGCCCGGCTGCCCTCCTGGTGGGGCTCTTCCCCGGTGCCTCCTTCCAACACTGGCCCGCTGCCACTGCCCGGTCTCTTGTCTGTGCTCCTCCAGCTGTCGTCGGAGCCTGGCCTCGCACCCGCATCTGCGGGCTCCATCCCGACACCCTGGCCAGTCTCGGTCCCGTTGCAGCATCTGGGCGGTGGGCAAAGCTGCGGGACGAAGCCGATGAACCTCATGCCTGCCCGAGCCGCGGCGTTGACCTGCGGTATAAAGCAAGATCAGAGCACGTGTGGCTCGGCCACTGCAGGTCCCTGTGCTGTGTGGAGATCCTTCCCCTTCCCGGGGTCCTGGGGGAGTGAGGTGCAGACTTCTTGGGGCAGGAGCTCACTTGAGCTGGGCCGGCAGACAGGCTTGGCCTTAGTTGAAAGCTGTCGCCTGAGAGGTGACAAACACAGCCCCGGTGTTTTCTGGGTTCCAGGCTGGAGATTCTAGACTGACGACCATGAGGGGGAGCCTTACTTTATTATTATTATTATTTTTTTTTTTTTGTCTTTTTCCTTTTTATCTGTACCAGGGATCGAACTCACGACTGCCTGCTTGCAAGGCAGGCGCTTATGCCGCTGAGCTAAATCCCCAGGCCCCTTACTTTATTATTTTAGTTTACTTTTTAGTACTGGGAATCAAACTCATGACCTCACACTGCCAGGCAGCTGCTGCCCCGCTGAGCTGCCTCCCGCCCTGGTGAACCTGAGTTTAAAAACAGCCCTGGGAGCCTCGGGGGCAGCTCAGGGGGCAGCGGGGCCACCTCAGTGAGCGCCCGACATCCAGGCTGTGCTTCCTGTGGCCACACCCGCCCGTGGAAGAGCCTGTCCCTCTGCCTGCTGAAATAACGGTGCTTTCCTGTTTGGTGGATGTCTCACCAGGTCCAGGAAGCCGGATGCCGGACAGGGCTCTGCAGGTGACCTCTAGCACTAAGTGAGCAGCTGTGTTTGTTCTTTTGCAAAGAAGCTTTCTGGACTGAATGCATCGAAAAACATCGCAGCTCCCAAAACAGTGGGGGCGAGCAGGGCCTCAAAGGCAGATCTGATCCTGCTCGGGCCACGGCTCTGTCGAAGCCGGGAAGTGTCCTTGGCAGCTCTGACACGAACCTCAGCTAATCTCACGCGCAGGGTTATTAGAAGTCCAGCAGCAACAGCAGACACCAGCGAACAAGTCTCACGGTGTCTTACCTGGCAGGAAATACCAGGTTCTAGGCTGCAGCCTTTCATAAAGCTCCAGGTGCCAATACAAATAAACCCAAATGGAAACAAACAAAAGCCTCCCTGTAAAACCCATCCTCCTGGGCTGTTGGTGAATATCCCATTTTCCTGCTTTGATTTAGTCTATACACAGCGTCCAGCTTTAGGTCCCAGCTGACTTCTGCTGGACTGACTTCTGCTGGACTGACTTCTGCTGGACAGCTCTTGGCTGTCAATCAGCTCTTGTGCTGAACACTCGCACAATTTTTGATTATACTGATGACCACTGTCTCTTTCAAAGACTCCAGTTACTGGAGACTTGGTTTATTATTCACTGTTTTTTTTTTTTATTCACGGTTGACGGAGTATCTCTCTATAACAATAACCTTGTCTCTTTTTATGTTATTTTTGGGAACAGACTGCTAGAGAGGAGATTGCTAGGTTACAAAACTACCGGGGACCGACCGGGATCTGTCTCAATCGGCACCAGGAGCCTGTGCTGTGTGTCATGAGGCCAGCCGCAGCATGCATGGCAATGTACCTTGAAGCTTTGGATTTAATGATTTCAGTTTTATTTCCTGGGTTAACAGTGGAGAGGCGTTAATTCCGTTTCATTTACTTTAAAAACTACAGGGCCTGCTATCTCCTTAGCAGGTGTTCTTTTTGTACCTGCCGTCCAGGCCTCCACTGTTTAGGGCTGGACACTGCAATCCTGTCTCTCTATTCATTTTCTGTGTGTTCCCTGCAGATGCCTCCGCCCCTTCTTTAAATTTATTTTTCTAGTGCACGATTTATGTTTCTATCCTCAGTTGCCTTGACTTACTCATAATTCAATATGCTCACTGCTCCGTTTTCCCTTGGATCCCTTACAGTTCAAAAAATTATCTCCACACTCTCTGAACCGTGTGGAGCCCGATGTGTTTCCTGGAGAACAAGTGGCCACTTTCCCCACAGTGTTTGTTAAGTAATGGTTATTCCTCCATTTTGTCTTATCAGGGTGGCTATTAAACTTTCTCTACGTGGCCATCTCCATCCTGTTTCCTTGGCCAGCTTTTCTCGTGTGTGTGTGTGTGTGTGTGTGTGTTAGTGTGTTCTGAGACACGGTCTTGCTACGTAGTCCAGGCTGTATCCTCCTGCCTCAGCCTCCAGAGTGCTGGGATTACAGGTGTGTGCCACCATGCCTGGCTCTGTTTTTGTTTTAATATTTATAGGCATGAGCCACCACACCGGGCTTCAATTGTTTTTCTGTTTCTAAAGCTGTACAATTTGGGACAAGTGTTTCTGTGTTCTAAAGCTGGGTGGAATAATTCACCTATTGCTTTCTTATGCCCTTCTTTTTGGTATCAGGAATCACACTCAGCACCTTACCCTTGCCAGGCGGGCACTTGTGCCACCCAGCTACACCCCTGGCCCCTCCTTATTCTTTTTAAAGAAAAACAAGAGCTCATTTCTTGGTCACCCCGGAAGCAAGCAGGTACCTTCTCCATCAGCTCCTTCGCGATGTCGCTGGTCTGTGCATCCCCGGGCACTGGACACTCCTCGATGACCAGTCGCTGGCACCTCTGTGTGCTGGGCACTGCCTGCTGCTTGGGGCTGCAACAGAGAGCATATTCACGCGTGCGGCTCCTCTGTGACAAGGTCACGGGGAGGGGTGAGCATGGAGCCAGGACCAGGGAATCTTTTTTTTTTGTCTTTTTGAGACAAGGTCTTGTTATATAGTCCCGCTGGCCTTTAACTCAGTAGCCCAGCCTGGCATTGAATTCACAGCGATCCTCCTGCCTCAGCCCCGGAGGGACAACATGCCTGGCTCACTTAGATTTTTCTCCTCCTCCTCCTCCCCTCTGTTTTTGCATGGTGCTGGGGCTCAAACCCGGGCCCTTGGGCCACTGCGCCACAGCCCCAGCCACACCTGTGATTCTTTTTCGCTGCCCTTCCTAATCCTCCAATTTGCCTATTTTCTCACTCTTTTCCACTTAGTTCATCGTCTTCTCCCTTTCACAGTTAAAGTCGTTGACCCATCACTGCGGAGGTGGAGATGAACAGTTTGCACCTGCTCTCTGGGATGGTTTGGGAGAGATTAAAGCTTCGTTTCAACTGTTTTCATTCCCTGCTGGAAAGGGCCAGGCCTTTTACCATAAAAGCTGCCAAAGGTGTGGTCTGGGCGTACAGGGGTATTTGCAGTGCTGTTTAGAAAAGCAGCTATTAATTTTAAAAAGCTGCTCAAGGGGGAGCTGGGCATGGGGCCCACGCGGTGACCTCAGCTCTAGGAGGCAGAGGCGCAGGGTTGAAGGGTCCAGGCTGTGTCACAGGAGGGCTGCGTGTGTGGCCGGCTGGGCGAAGGTGGGAGGCTGAGGGCTGCCGAGATGCCCTCGGGGTTCTGACCCCCATCACAGCTGGGCTGCTGTGATGCACTCTGGGGAGAGGTGGACGTGGGTCTGTGCAGTGTGGGAGCCCAGCTGTCTGCTGCCCACGTCTGAGGGCGCAGTGCTTTCGCAGTGTCTCGGGCTCCTGAGGGTGATGCTCTGCCCTCAGCTGCTGGGCTGTACCGGCCCCACCGGCCTCAAGTGCTGTCCCTCGTCTCCAACCCCTGCCACCCTCGCCCGGCCCGGGTCCACAGGGAGCGTCCATGCTCACAGAGCAGGAATCAGCTTCTGCTGCCCGCTGCCCACTGAGGCGCAGCCGCGACCCCCATCCTCTGTCCCTCCCACCTGTCCCCCCATCCCTGCCTGACACAGCCGCCCGCAGCTCACCTGGCTCTTGGCCGCAGCAGTACCGCTCGGTACAGGTGGCTTGCAGGCAGGGGCGCCCGGGGTCCCGCGGGGTGCAGGATGGGGTGCAGAGCCCCCACCACGTAGCCCTGGAGGTAGTAGGCCTCCACCTGGGCAGGGATGTCGGTGACCGAGTGTATCCGGATCACTTCTGGGTGGGGCAAGGCTGAGAGCAAAAGCAAAGAGAGGGTCACACGTGTGCACATCACCGCGCGTGACTGCCCCTGTGATCCCCACCCCGCCCAGCGAATCCCTGAGCCAGGTCTCAGACCCCCCACGCTAGCCTGTGTGGTATCTTCTGGGGGGATCGAAGCCAGGGCCACGTCAAAGGAGCTCGCTGGGCACTGGGACTGACCCACATCCCCAACCCTTTTGGTTTTATTATTTTGAGACAGGGTCTCACTCAGTGGCTGAGGCGATCCTCCTGCCTCAGCCTCATGAACTGCACATGTGCAATATTACCAGTGTCCTCAAAGCGGAAACACAAAGCTTTTATGCTTTTTTTTCCCAAGTCAGGCAGTTTTAAAGATTCTGAGGATATTTAGGATTTTCACTAAAATAGACTGAAGACACAGGAAAGAAACAATCTGCAGAGCCAACTGTGTGTATGACGAGATGCACAAGTCCTTAAAAAGGAAACCGATACAGTGAAAAAGTAGGAATGATTTGGAGAAGCGGCCTTCGTGAGGCCGCAATTATCACGTGCTCTAACGGGTCTTCAGAACCACCCTGTTTTAAGTTTCTTCTGAAAGCTTAAAGTATGCTTCTCACGGTACGAATATAAATGCAGGAAAGGAATTGAGACAGGGAGGTTATCCAGGAGTCCTTTTTAATAAACAAAAATTCTAGGCGGAGGCGAAGTTTAAATGGGAAATCAGTGTGCAGTTGAGCCAGGCCATGAAGGAGACTGCCGGAACACAGAATCCAGGGTTTGTGCACAATGGGAAGAGAAAGCGATGTGCTCGCTAAGGAAATATTATTGATTTCTAGAGTATTAATTTAAAGAACTATTTTCCGTGGCAATTTTTGTTTTTCACTTAATGAGAAACAATCAAGAATTATTATCTAGCTGGGTGTGGTGGTGCATGCCTGTGATCCCAGCCCTCAGGAGGCTGAGGCAGGATGATCCCCATGAGTTTAAGGCCAGCCTGAACTACACTGTGAGACCTTGTCTAAAAAACACAAAAAACAAAAAATCAAACCAGGTCTTTTTGTTTTTTGTAAGGGGATTGAACTCACAACCGTGTGCTTGGCAGGCAGGCTCTGTGCCACTGAGCTACATCCTCAGCCAAAAAAAATTCCAAACCAAGCAAACAGAAGGAGTGATCATCTAGAGCAGGCTGGAACCCCATCGTGGCTGGAGTAAGGGGTGTGCTCAGCGCCCGCCTGGCCGGGCGGGGGTCCCCAGCAGATCTTGTGCCCTGCACCTCATGCTGGCAGCCAGCAGGGGTCCACCAAGTATCTGCCAGCACCTGGGCCTGGTCCTCCCGCCTGGAAATGACACGAGGCGGCCAACCTGGGCCTGGGAGCTCCCGGTCAGGCTGCTGGGCTGTCTTTCCATCCATGACACCTTCAGCATTGTCTCCGTGGCTCTTGGCCTCCAACCCTGCGTTCTCCTTTGCTCTGCGCGGCCCAAGTTCCCGAGGCACCGAGCCGACTTCACCCTCCCAGAGCACTGTCCACCCCCGTGCTGCCGTGGGCCATGCAGGTCACGCACCTCTGAGCTCACCCCTACTTCCCCAGCCTCCAAGATTCCTTTTAGTTTCAAGCAACCTAAAGTCACTCCAAAACAATCGTCATCACTCCTACAACCCAGAGGCAGACTCCTTCACCGTGCAGCGTCTTACAAATAAACGACCCGAAGAAAACTGCGCAGGTCCACTCACTGCAGGCTTGTGTTTTTTGGCTCGCTGTTGAAAATGGACCCTGGCGCACAGAGGTGTGACAGAGGCGTGAAGCTTTTTCACTGCAAAGGGAAGGGGTCTGCAGGGGGCCAGAAAGGTGGCCTTTCTGCCCCACACGCACCTCCTAACTCCCTGTGTGCACGGCCTCAGACACCGCTTGCCCAGGGCCGAGCCACCTGGGGGGCTGGTTATGGGTAGCAAGAGAAATGTCCATGCAGGGCACACCCATGCAAGAGAGCTCCAGATGTTATTAATATTTTTCCAAATCCATTTTATTTCAAGGATAAAAAGAAAGAAAGAAGCTGGGCGTGGTAACTCACACCTGCAATCTCAGCACTTGGAAGGCTGAGGCAGGAGGACTGTTTTGAGTTGGAGACCAGCCTGGGCTACAAATGGAGCTCAAGGCCAGCCTGAACTGCATAGCAAGACCCTGTCTCAAAAAGACAAAAAGACAGGAAGGAAGGAAGAAAGGAAGGAAGAAAGGAAGGAAGGAAGGAAGGAAGGAAGGAAGGAAGGAAAGAAGGAAGGAGGAGAAGAAGAAACTACAACAAAATTTCACAACACATCAATCAGGGATCAACAGTGGTGCACAGACTGCCATCCAGACGTATAAATCACACCAGAGAACCCCAGAAGCTCTAAAGGAGAAACAATCAACGGCCTCCGCACTGTTTGAGCACACATGGGTGCAAAGGTCGCATCCTTAGGGCCTCTGAGACTCCTCTACACCGACCCCACCCGTCTGCATTCTTTCAAAGGTAACAGTTAAAATAGAAGTAATAAAAGGTTGTTCTTTCAGAATAAAAAAGTTTACTTCCTGGGCCTGTGTCTGATACACATTCAGGCCCTGCGGCAGCGCCCCCTGGAGGGCAGCGGCAAACTGGACCAAGGTGAGCGGATCCAGGTGAGGGTCCCAGCCCCAACTGCCGCCCTGCAAGCCTCTGCTCTGAGGCTCGGTCTCTGCAGCTGCACAGTGAGCAACTAGAGGCGTCCTCCCTAACGTGCAGTCAGGGACAGCACCTCAGGAGGAGCCTGGCTGTCGCAGGTCGCCCTCCCGCAGTGCATCTTGGCTGTCAGAGTAAAGCATTCTCTACACCACCTGTCCAGCCCTGCTGCACCACCTTCCAGCAGTGTGACTTAGAGAAGCCCCTGCACCCCTCTCTCTGAACCTCGGCATTAACCCCGCAGACGTGCCAGGGTGGTGGTTACAGGCGGGAGTCTGGGCCTGCCGCTTAGCAATGGATGCCAGTGACATGCTTGTCCCTAGGTGTGTGACTCTGGGGACAGAGTTGAAAGTGCCATTTGCGCCAAGAGGAAAGGCATTGTGGGTCTGAAAAGTCTCCAGGGATTCTGGTGTGGAAGCACACATTGTAACTGAAAGAGTTTTGGCCCAGACAGGACACTGTAGCCGGTAAAGCCTCAGGTGGAACCAAGAAGCTCCATCTTCCCCACCCCTAGGAATTTGTCCCTGGTGCCAAAGAATACCAATGGGCTACCTGTGCATCCCTAATGCCCCTCAGGCTCCACCTCCAACCTAAGCTACATGTATGCCCCCACTCCACGTGTTTCATGGGGAGATCGCTGACCGGGGAGGGGGGGGATGCTGCATCCCTGGGGATTGGGGGTCTCTCCCCACATTCTTAAAATAAAGATCATTTATATTTCATACTTATCTTTTCAGCCACCGCCCCCACAGTTCTATCATATGGTTCCCTGACCGGGAACGGCAGACGAGAGACTCCTGGGATCCTCCTGTCTGAGTCCCCTGACGTTCAGGACCGGACTGCATCCTGGATGGTTCCCTAATTCCTCACTTCTACACCTGGGAGCTGTAAACTTGTCGCTGCTGGCTCACAAACAACACCGGCCCATTTTATCACAGGTGAGCAAACTCTGGAGAATTCTTCGGCGCTGGGCCAGGCCCCACGTGAATTTTCTCCCCCTTTCCGTGGGTTCTCGTGACACTCTCACGCCCTTAGACAGCCCAAGGCAGAGTTTTTCTGGACCAACCTGGGTTTACACTGAGGAACTCTCACATCCTTTAGAGCTTTTTAAGTTCTCATGGGCAGAGCTGTTACTAAAACCCATGATAAATCCACTCGTGGATCTCAGTGATCACTGAGAAATACGAGATTTGGAACCGTAATTGCCATTTGTTCCAAAGGACGGGTGATGGCTCAACCTTTGGACCACAGTCCATTTCTCACCTGAGATTTAGCCATAAAAAAAATACCTTTTCTACTTCCCAAAAGATCACACCTTTGCTATGGTTGATTTCTAATCTGAGTACTCTTAAAATTAAAAAAAAAAACAACATACCTATCTATAGCTTATCATACTGACGACAAGTTTACAAAACTCTTTATCTTTAAGCCTTTGTTTTGGGAATGTGCGTCCTTTCCCCCTCTTCCAGGATCCCTACCCCTCCCCCCACTTAGAGAGATAATAGTGTCTTTCTCTGCAGCCTTTCGGAGCTTTCTCAGAGTCTCCTTTCCTCCCTGCTTCCCCTGCGCACTGACCCATTCCCTGCCGAGATGGGAGAGGTGTGCCCAGTGTTGAGAGATACTGCTGCTTTAAGCCTTCACGCCGTGCCCCAACTCCGCGCAGTGTCTCAGCTCTCATGCCGCGCTCCAGCTCCATGTGGGTCCAGCTCTAACGCTGGGCCCTAATCCACGTGCCCTGTGAGCAGTTCCGGCTCCACGTGGCGGCTCAGCTCTGCGTCGGTCTGGCTACCCACCATGCCTCTCGAGCAGCCCCAGCTTCACGGGGTGCCCCAGCCCCGCGCAGGGTCCCAGTGTGCAGGATCCCAGCACACCGCGTCCCAGCTCTGCCTCCCAGCTCTGCCCCCCATGCTCCACGTGCCCACCATCACTGCGCCAATGCCTCCCCCCGCCTTGCATGCGTTTCCAGGGCAGTTCCAGCCTGACCGTCTGGGCGCTTGCCCCGCCTCCACTCTGCGTGTCCAGCCCCCACGCTGGGCATGCTCTATCCACCTGCCGCGATAGTCCCCAACCCCCAAGCACAAGCGCCGCTCTGACCACAAACACAGAAAAACACAGATAAACCTCCTCGGCTCAGAGATGCTATTTTTTACATTCTCAAACCACTTAATCAAGGTTAAATAAGCCGACAATAGACAAGACTTTGGCTGATAAACGGGGAAGTGGCCACCTGATAATTTTACCAGCCTTATTTATCAATTAAAGCCTTCAACAATTTCCTAAATGTTTAACAACCAAAATTAAGAGGTAATTATAAATTC